AGAGACAGAGACCTGACAACATAGTATCAAATAACCAAGTTACTATCTCGGAAAGAAGAGATCAACAAAAATGAAACCAATGAAAGACGATGAAGGAAATCTAATTAGCAAAGAGAAGAAACAAAGGAAACGATGGGTTGAACACTTCGAAAAGCTCCTGAACCGATCATCACCTGCACTTCGTCCAGAAATACCGCCTGCAGCCCAGCCACAGAGCTACCAGTGAACACAAGCCCTCCGACGAAAGTCAAAGTCCTGAGTGCCATACAGCTACTAAAAATGCGGGAGAGCAGCAGGACAATATGAAATCCCACCAGAAACACTAAAAGCGGACGCAGGGACAACAGCGGACATGCTCTCACCACTACTGCAGAAGGTCTGGAAGGAAGGGAAGGTAACTGGCGATTGGAAGAACGGCGACTTAAGTGTTTGCAAGAACTGGCGAGGAATCATGCTGCTATCCATAACAAGCAAAATATTAACTCGCATCATTCTGGATGAGCTGGATTCAAAACTACTACCCGAACAGGCAGGCTGGATGGATTCAGGAAGCACAAATCATGTGTGGACCAAATTGCAACGCTTCGCATCATCATAGAACAGAGTATAGAATGGCAGTCAACTCTTCACCTTACCTCAACTTCATCAACTTTGAAAAGGGCTTCGACAGCGTCGACCGACAAGTAATTTGGCAGTTGCTCCGACACTATGGAATAACACAAACCTTTATCAGCCTCATTCGACAAATATATGAAGACTACACATGCCGAGTAATTCACAATCGGAAGCTCAGTAATGCCTCTTAAGTGAAGACAGGAGTGAAACAAGGTTGCCTACTATCACCCATGATATTCCTGATTGTGGTCGACTGGATCATGCAACAAACAGTGAGGAGAGAGAAGAGGGTGATACACTGGTCCAAGGAAAAGATCCTAGAAGGTTTGGTTTTCGCCAACGATGACTTGTGTCTGATGTCACACAACCTTGAAGATCTACAGGCGAAAACTAACAAGTTGACAGAAGAGGCAGAGAAGACGGGACTTCAAGTGAATATAGAGAAGACAGAGGTGATGAAGATACCCAACCAACAACTCCAACAACAACAACAAGCTCCAATCACCATCAACGGGAGAAACTTAAAGGAAGTAGTCTCTTTCACCTATCTAGGCAGCACCGTTCCAACTACAGGCGGCACAGGCACAGACGAGGATGTCAAAGCAGCCAGGATCAGAAAAGCAAGACAGGTGTTCATTAGCCTGAAACCAGTGTGAAGATCTTCCCCACTCACCACAAAGCGTGAACAACATCCGGATTTCCAACACCACGTCAAATCAGTTCTTCTGTATGGTTCAGAGACTTGGCGTGTTACGAAAGGCATTTCCAACAAACTACAGACATTCATCAACAACTGCCCCTACGCTGCTCGTTACTGAAGATCAGATGGCCAGAATAATAAGAATAAGCAACAAGGAACTCTGACTGGCAACTAACCAACGAAGAAGCTATCACTCAACAAATATGCAGTGGAAGGAAGTGGAGATGGATTGGGCATGCACTGAGAAGACCATTCGGGGACATCACGCGCCAGGCCAGTTGCTCGAGTGGAACCCTGATGAGAAGCCATGAGTTGAGCTTCCGAGGCGAGGGTGACTTGGAGAAGATCGTGTGACGAAGAAATGAGAGCTTGTGGGTTGTCGTGGAGCCAGGTTGAAAAGACTGCAGAGAAGAGGGTACAATGGAGGCGTGCTACTGAAGCAGTATGTTTCACTAGGAACCCAAGGGACTAATTATAATGATAATAATAATAATAATACATTGACTAAATCTCAACATTATCAGTTTTCCTGCTGTAGAAAATGGAAATAAATACATTGATCACTTTTGAAATTCAAGTTCTAACACTTTTGATGGACTGTTCGTATTGTTTAAATTAGCATCTGAAATTACTCAGTTTTAATTAGGATACAAAGTTGACAAGTTGCCAGAATATTTCAGATGATAATAACACTACCTTTAAATACTAATTGGGTTATCTCTTGAGCTTAAAGAAGGTTGAATCAAGGTCAAATTGTAGGAGAAAGCAGTGGATGATAGGTTAAAATCCACAGAGGTATACTACTGTGTTTTAACTAAGTAGTAGATCAAGTGATGTGTGGTTATTTTGAAAGAAAAAACATTTATACAGTGTGTTTAATATTAAAAGAGATCAAAACAAGTTATTTCACAAGTGGTGCATTTAAAACATTTTGTTTAATAGTGAGACTAACATATTTGTTGTGTGACAGTCTTGTAGGGGTTGCTGGTCGTGTTACTCTTACGTAACGCTTAACCAATCCTACTTAACTCAATATGCTGTAGTACCTGCTTAGTCAGTACCTTACCTAACGTGTAAGTACTGATAACGAAACACAAATCAAAAGGATCGGTATTCAGAAATATATTCAAGGAGCATTATATTTAATTGGAATAAATGTGATAGTAATTATTAAGTGAAAAGTTTATACTATTTATCTGGTTATTATGGTTCAACTAGGGACTCTGAGGATGTGCGTGTTAATCAGCGCAAAGAGGCGTCGAAGTCTGCTCGGAAGCACGCTCGTTAAAAAAAACGTAAGATACCTTAAGCATCTGGAGGCAAGCTAGAGGTTTGTTTAGTTAATTCAATTTAATCTGTTTTTTTAGCCCTAGTCGCATATTGGTGTCGGGAAGGTGCACTATAGACTGGTCTTATTGAAACTGGATGATGATTGACAGCTAGATGCAAACCCTGGTCATGACGGGATTCGAACCGGTGGCACGGATTCTTGTGACAGCCAAGAGAAACCCTTGGTGACTGAAGGGAAGCTAAGACCCGACCAGTAGCTGATTATTGCAGCTCAGTTTGTGGAACGCCAGGTCACCAACCAAAAAGTCAATAATTGAAACCTTCCCACAGACTAAACTTTCACTTCATCTTCAATCATCATCCAGTATCAACATATTGTTTGGTTTCTGCTTCACACTACCTCTGCTTATCCAGATTTTGTTTATAACATCATCATCAACGCAAATCTTCTTTAGCTTATCATCATCATGCCGACCCGGTAAATTTATAAAGAATAACGTCATGACATAGTTGAATCTGACTGAGTCACTTTGTGAATGACGTTTACGTAAGTTTCCACTATCTAAATTGTCTACAATATACTTGTATACAAATTACTTCCCTTTATTTGTTTTAGAGCGCAGTGACTGCTATATACCCCTAATATGACAGACTGATGGTGTTACCATCTTGAATCCACTTATAACAATTTTTTTACTGAAAGCGACCAGTACTCGACAATACCGTATTTTATATAAGGTATATAATAAAACACTTTGATGGCTTGAAATATTTCAACATCATAACACCTAATTATTAATCACTACACATCGAAACGTCGATTTTTCAAAAGAATATGAGGTGCATTTCCACTTTCTCGTTTTAAAGGAAGAGAAAAGTAGTAGATTAGGTTAGATAAGAATCCCTCGAGAAATTTCATGAACTTCGAGATATTTGAATAACTAAGGATTTTCCTTGATAAACTGCGAAAATAATCTCGCCGGGATTCTGTTTGATTGGATAAAGAAACCTATGCTCATAACATAAACTACGACAACATATATGAGAAATGTCTAATCAACTTTAGATATTTAAAAATGTTTTGATAATAGAAAACGCATAGAAATAAACTAAACTTCGGTATGCTACCGTTTTCATATATATGACATTCAAATCAAATCATATCATCGAGGAAATTGACAAGAACCAATAGAACAGACCGGACTGTAGCACAGTGCACTCGATCCCTAATGGACAACCGTAAATCACGGCGGCACCACAAATGGCGTAAGTTGGGCAAAAGTCAACCGAGCCTCGGGTATCTGTGCAGACATTTTGTCAGCCAGTGCTCAACAATCGTTTCATCTCTGTTTGGGATTACTCAACAATGTTCTCCCAAATTGTTTTGCACATCACATCTAGTATTATCGGGTTTAATCCATCGACTGAATAGTAACGTGCTCGCTGAGAAACCTGACAGTTTTGCTTACGGATGAAACAAAGAGTAAGTTCTATCGTTCACCACATGATCAACTTAGTCAACTAGGCTCCACAATTATACTGTTACTATCTAACAAGTTTAGGCCCAAAGTGACCATCTGGGCTTGGAGGAGGTTGACTAATGCGGTTGGATCTCCGACAAGAGAGGTTGTTAACCACAGTCTTCTTCAGATTGTAATTTATTTGTTAACCAGCAACGACTTATTTTCTAGTTTCTGCTGTTGGGATGCTGGGCATAGTATCCCTTGCTTCTCACTATACTTCAGTACATGCACTGATCTAATCAAAAACCAGTGTTTCGCGATTCCACATGATTTGGCTCAAAATCGATTTCAGTGATGGAGAGGTACTTTACATTATCTTCATCTTAATCGTCAGACTGAATTTCAGTATTCTATCATTCTTTCTGACTCTTTCTTCCGATGACTTTCCACCACTTTTTTTCTTTATTTTTTATCTTCCATGTGTTATGGTGATATGAGGTGTGGTATGTTGGACTGCTTCGTAGTTAATGCCAGTTCCTACATTGATATTGTCTGTCTGCTCCCATTATATTCCACACTAGTTTTCAACCCATTGAGAGGTGTAGAGATGAGCATTAGATGGACTCATAAGATGATGCTATGAAAAGAGCGAAATTTTGCATTCGCTCTTGGTGATAGAGCGTTAGAAGTGGTTATATTTTATGTGAGTAGTTGTTCTGTTGCTAGTTAAGTTGTGATGAATGAGATTTTCCTGTGAATATTGAGAGCCGAGGAGCCATATGCCAATCAACATCACGTGTAAGGCTGCCTGTAAGCCACTTACTATCAGTACACATAATAATTTCTGTGTAAATCATTGATTAGCTGATTCGTTGTGAAATACCGAGAAACGTTCAGAAAAAGCATGTTTTGATTATCGAAGAAGGCTGGGATAATATTGAAATTTACTTTAATAATGATCAAATCAGACTCAGCGCTCAAATTCTTCTAGAAACACACTGAAAATATTTTTGCAATTATAAAAGTTATTTATTGACTCCAGCCTTCATATAAACTTAGAATAGCTGTTATAGGGTAGAAAATTATCAGAATTATCATCATAAATGATTTAATAGTGAATCTTTCGTTTCTTTTCAATAAAAAAAAATAGTAATAGAGTAAGTCAAGATCATTCTAATTGACGAATAGATGCTATACGATAACTTTTAGCCGTTTCAATAATATCCTGTGATTCAGTTATCCCCCTTCCAACAATCATGACAAGAGAAGATGCAGAATTAGTGAATCGTTTGTGAACATGTTCTGGAGTATTATAACTTTGACCAAGATCATCATTAGAGTTGACTAATTTAATACCTATAACAATTACAAAATAATATTAACAAAAGTTAGCTTTGAAGGGATCATTAGTAAAATAAGAGCATAAAGAAAAAAATTGAAATGAACTCAGCAACAGCATACACTTTCGTGCGGTAGCCAATAAGATACACCTATTGTGTGAAGGCTAATGACACTACCTGTTTGCTTATGCCTTAAGTAGGTGAAGTGAAGTACGGATCCATGACCCGTCGGTTGAAAGTTAACTGGCTAAACCAATATGCCACAGCTCCAAAAAACAATTTCATGGTATATATGCATACACAATCAGTTGGTCAAAAATATAATCGTTCCATAGTCAGCCAATTCGGTTTTGAAAAGTGATAGCAAAACAGTGAGCTAAATTATTGAGTTTGGCTATCTAGTCTACTGTTTAAATACCTGAATACCACTGCTATGCAGACAGATAGAATCAATGTAGAACTGTACAAAGTTGTGTGACAGAATCAAAAATCTGTAGATAAAGGTTAGTGTGAATATTCAGGCTTTGGATGACGTCAGAGTGAATGCATCTGGGCCATTGTGACCGATTTCCAGCTATGTTGCCAACAGTCCTCAACCGCTGATTCTTATCGCCTCAATGACCCACAACCAAGTAGCCTACATCTCCCCATACGGCTAAGAGAAACTGTCAGGGACTTCATCGACCGGTGCTACGTTTTAGTCTGGCCACCCTGAATCCTCTTCCAATCTAATTCAACTTCCTCTGGCATGCCACGTCGAAGTAGGCGATGTCTAGGTATATGCAACACCTGTCCAAGCCATCTCAGTCGACTACAATTCACAACCTCATCAACTGTCTAGTACCCTTTGCATGACCTCTACATCAATCACACGGTGATTCCACCACCACTAAAGCTAAAGGCAATTAAAGGGGAGATTTGTCATAAAACTATGAATTCTCCGACAATTGTTTTGAATAGTGTCACGAAGTATGAGCTACAGATATGTGGAACACTTTACAGATGACCTAAAATCTATCTCAATTGCATAGATGCATCGACATCTTAACTTCATCTAATTCGTTATACCACGCTTGTTTTAACTCTTTTTCCTTTTAATGAATTTCAATCATATTACTTAAAATTCTGTCTTCCATCTACATTTATGTCTTGATGTGAGACTGAATAACATGAACAGTTAGGCAGTAAATCCTAAGCACCATTTTGATAGCGACTGTGTTTAAAACCTAATTTGATTACTTTCATCAACATCATCTTATGGATAATAATAATTACTCTAGCTTTTACCATGAAAAGCTATTATCAGACTAAATATGACTATAGCCTAAGAACTTCTTTACCACTTTGTATGTTTGCTCTTCAAAAAGATCCTTACAAGTAATGACAGTCACACTTTGCGTCTATTGTCAACCTAATTATTATGTATGCCACTAAATACAAAATCTTATTCAACTATACTCAAATTCTTCGAAAAGACTCACCAGAAACTTGATATTTGATGTCCCGAAAATGTATACATCCTTACGTTGTTATACAGAGTATGCAATAAAAGTAGGACTTAATTCTGTGATCCAGACATCGACTAGATGAGATAAGGCTACCAATATATGTTACAGATTAGTAACTAGTCGATAAGACACTAATAATAACGAGTACGTTTGTTTTCTTATTGACATTACGAATATACAAAATAATTTGTACCAAGTCTCTAATGACCTAACTAGTCGACAATATCTGATTTTGCACAGTCAATTAGAAATACAAGATTTGTAATAAAAGAAACATCAATAATGGATACTCGCTAGCAGTCGAATCCAGGATGCAAGTTTCGTCTAATTTGGGACTCGTCAGCCGGACGAAACTGACTCCCATCAAGTGATGTTGTTCCCACTAGGACTCACACTCGAGAGCTATAGTTTCAAATGCCAGTAGGATAACCCACTAGACCACCGAGTCATGAGAACCACTTCTTGTGCAACGGGTATAGTTTTAATATTTTTGCTTGTATTATCCCAATGTTGAGTGGTCTCTGTTGGAATATGGACTCCTAAGTGGGGACACCTCGATACCGTCCATTTTTGAGTTATACAATAATGATAGATCTGCACAGGGGCACATATTCCAATAAAGACCAATCAGTTCAGTCCACTCAAAGATGAGATAATACAAGTAGCAACAAAAAAGATATAACCTAAAGTCTAAGAATAAAAATTTACTTGTCAGCATGATTCATGTTTTTAATGTATAATAAAAACTATGAATGAAAAGCACTCTCCCTGATAGACATTATCAAATGTATATCTTGATATATGTGAATTGATTGTCTAAATCTGAAATCACGAAAAAAGAAAAAATACAGTGAATTTCACGAACAGCCTTACCCGGAACCCAATAAGAAATAGTTGACTGCCGAGTATCCAGCCCTGGTATAGGATGTTGAGCAACAAAACCACCAATAATATCAGAATTTGTTTTAATTAAATCAACACACTGACCCATATAAGATTCTGTAGTCAATGTGCCCTAGAAAAGTATATGTAAAGAAATTACCATTAAATGTAGGTGCATTTTGAAGAAATCAAAGCATAAATCCTAGTGAAATCAAAACTCAAAATCTATTACATACTTTTCATTTCACCACCTAATTGCAATTTTGGTCATTAGCCTTTCTTCAATTTGTTGATACTCCGTTCCCATTCCCCCATTTTGAGGCTTCACATTATTATTACTTCATATCCATACTACTAACTATCATTAAGTAGTATCTCTGTACCTGCAAATTTGTCAAACGGGCGATATTTCATGTTTTGCTGTGTAACCTTTTTAGCGTTTTAATATTTCAGTGCATCAGCTTCTCTCGTAATTCCATAACTTTCTTTCACATAATACAGTTTACTTCACGTGTGTCCTATCTTCCTTTCGACTTTTGGTTTTCGTAATTCCTTCCGTATATGCTGGGTATTCTAACATTTTTTTCAATAATTTAAATATTCCCATTGTGATAATTACAAAAACAGTTTGAAGCGAATACGTCATTCTCGTTAAGTTCTCGTCAGGTTTTACAATCCCACTTACAAATTATTCAGCATAGGTAATTTGGTTAGTTGAATTCAAGTATATGAATTGGAGGGTAACAATAAAGGCGATAATCACAAAATAGAAATCTCAGAAGGTTTATATATTCTCAGTAGTCAATCCTTGTAGATGTGTGTGTGCATTGTGTGTGTGCAGGGATAGAGAGAAATAAAATTATCATCGCATAGCGAGGATATAATGAAATGATAAAATTCTTGATCAACTATGAAACTAAGGGTGAAATATAAAATGATAATTATCAGAAGACAAACAGAGATAATATTTACACTTATCTGGGTGACAGGGAAGGAAATTACTGTAATTTTATCTGGGTTGGAATTGAAGGCCATGGGAGGGAAAGGAGATGAACAAACATATTAATAACAATAATAATATTCGCTTTTTGAAATGGTGGAGAATATTTATGGTTCAGGTGGATGGTCTTGGTTGTAGTGTGTTCTCTTAGCTGGGTTGTTTAATGTGAAGCTTTCATCGTCTTTCTTCTACACGACATCAACAACACTAACTTCAGTATGAAGTGAGCTGTCAATATCTCTCCGTGAGTAATTCAGTAACTTCCCTTGACAAAATGGTTTGTGATTGGTTGTCTCTTCGATTGCTGTCATTGACTGCATAGATTTTTCTGTTGCCTGTTCCTCTGCTTGACCACTGATCTTACTGTCATTTATCATTTTTCGCATTGGTTGATAGGTTGAGTCTATGTCTATACACCTGTTGATTGCTGACTGACCTGAATCCCAAGCTTCTAGGAATTCTCTGATATTCTTTGTATTTCCTCTCTCCGGCCGAAATTTCCACATTGTCGAAATTGAATTCATGTCCATAACAATCCATGTACATTCGAATTAGTAGTGAAATGTCGTGACACTTAAAAGCCGATTGATGTTCATGTAGACGAAGGCGAAGAGGGCGACCACTTTGTCCAATGTAATGTTGACTACAGTTATTGCAGTTGATTTTGTAAATGATATTCGATTTGTCTTCTTTGACTGTTGCAATCCTTTGTTCCGCATAATAGTGTGTGGAGGGAATTTGTGGTTTATGAGCCACACCAATTCCAAATGGTTTCAGTAATTTATCGTGATTTCTGATCTATTCTTTATGTACGATAGGATAATGTGTTATCCTCGAGCGACATTTTGGTAATGCTAGTTTACTAAGCTAGTATAAAAATCTGCAATTCGACATAAATAACAGGCGTAACCTTTTTCTTGAAACAATTAGTCCGCTTGATAAATTTAAGCAACATAATGAAAAGATGGAGATCATTCGGATGATATCATGTATTAGCGATATACATTTCGAATAATCTGATCACACGTGAACTTGTCGAATAATTTATATGTAATTCAATTTGGGGTTCGTGAAAATTTATTGACTTCCACTTGGTATTCAGTATAGACTGACATCAGTTGGAGGAACATTGGAAACTTGGGAGCACTGAACAGCTGTTTCGTCCTAGTATTGGATTGGATTCTAACCCAGTGGCCTAATGGTAACATGGTGGCCATGGGACCCGAAGGTCCTGGGTTAGATCCCTGGCGGGGTTACCACTTTCGAAAGTAGTGTGATTACATTGATATGTTTACAAGCAACAATTTGTGCTCGAAACGTCGTGAAGTAAATAGTACTATATCGCTGTGTATTATTTATCAAATAAACAAATCTAATATGGAATGCGTGCGTACTGCTGAAGAGTCTCATGCTAGAACGAAACAGCTGTCCAGTGCTCCCAGGTTTCCAACGTTCCTCCAACTGATGTCAGTTCATGTTGGATACCAACTTGAAGTTCATATAAAACTTAGAAAGGTTAATTCAATCAATGGAATTATAATGAAGAAAGATAACAGGGGCAGAACTACAACAAGAGGGAAAATAAAATAATAATAATAGGTCAAATCACCACCAACAGTATGAAGAGTTGAACTTAATACTACTTTGGTAGGTTTAGTGTCAGTACAAATTGTTTCTGAACGCATAGAAGGGGTTTGAATTTATGGATAGTAAGTGCTTCGATAAATCTACGTATTCGTCCTTCACCATATCTGTACAGTACAATAAAGGCTATCCTCATACCAATCTTATGACCAGTTTCTAATGTGTCTTGTAATCGATGAGGAAGAACGTTTGTCACCTGCACTTGTTTTTTTTCTGGAGCCAATTAGGCATTTGTTCAACGAGCGACTTTAAAGCCCCCCCCCTTCCCCCTAGCAAGAAGTGGAATAACCAAATAGACCACTGTATTCATTGAAAATCTGCCTTTCCAGCAGAAATGGAGAAACAAAATTGGTTATTTAGGTTGCTGTCAGGGTGGCCTTTAAAATCGCCCTGTTCAACCAATCTTAACTGCGTCTCACGATTGTCCACATATACAGGTCAATTGATAGACACAATGGAATGTGATACACTCGTTCAAATGCTGTTTAGGTTTGTTGTGAAGCATAGGCTTTGTCTTCTCCACTAAGATGACCTTGGTCGCGTACTATGTCCTGTTAACAAGTGATTTGAGGTTTTTCTTCAATATCACTGTTGGATTCACCCCCGGTACACCAATGTGGTATAAACATTTGTCTTAGGGATAAAATATTGACTAATAGGTGTCAATGTTATGCCGATTTTACATCAACTGAAAATTTCGTGTGACTTTAAAGGCCACCATAGCAACAACTAAAATAACCAATTACACTTCGATACTTTATGAAAATCTGACTATCTAGCCAAAATCAAGAAAACTAACTGGTTGTTTCGATTATTGCTAGGGCGCCTTTATAGCTCTCCATAATTACAGTAGTTGCTACAGTGGACTTCAGAACTAAAGGGATTTTAAAGGCCACGCTAGCAACTGCTGAAATAGCCATTAAATTTTGAATAATTCGGTAATTACCTAAAATGAAGAAACGCAATTGGTTATCTCAGCAGTTGCTAGGGTGACCCTTAAAGGCACTCGAAGTGAACACTAAAATTGGATGAGTCATTTCAGTTGTGTAGGTCACCAATTTGCCACCATGGTGTCTAACTTTGAATTAACCTACATACTAATTGCCTCTGTTAGTGAATTTTTATATTATCTATGCCCGTCTGTTCAGTAAATCTACTGCTACTCCGCCCCTCACCATAATAACAACTGAAATAACCAATAAGACCTATTTATTTTATGAAAATCTGTTTTTCCAGCTCAGATAAAGAAACCTAATAAGCTATTCCAAACGTTGCTAGGGTGGCTTTTAGTGTCACTCATAGTTGTTAGTGCGACTAGCACTGTAGCCTTACATCTACTGAACTCAACAGCTATTCAGTTTCATTGTCGTTTCTTTCATCAGGAGATACACATACTCGAACCAACGCATGGTTGAAGTTCAAGCTTGGATTTCAGAAGGAAAATCGATTCTCCCCAAGAGTTGTTGATAGCAGTATCAACCTTACGTTTGAGGTCAATGGTTATGAAGTCAAGTGATATCTTCATCTTTATGAATTATGCTCTTTTAAAAAAGATGATTGCAACACAGCAAACGGTTAGGTTTTGTCCATTAGGTGGATTGCAATTTTGAAAGACCCATCTAGGTGCTTTTCAGTCTCATTCTGCTTCCTTAATTGAGCATTGAGCTGTCACACCCCATGTATTCACTCAGGATATTTTATAGAACATTGAAAAAAACCTACATTGAATTCAAATTAAGCTCTGGGATACAGTCAGTAGATGCATATAAAGATAGATATCACAAACACCTAAGCTTATCTTAAACGCTTCGGAGCCCTTAGCGTACTTTGCTAAAGAACAATGAACAGACATTTATGGAATAGAATCTAGTCAGTTATAATCTTGAACCTAATGCTTTACATTCACCAGTGTAAAGTGTAATACCATCCTCAAGACCACGGAAACTAGCCACTGAGACAAAAAAATATCCGAATAGAGGATCAGATGTACTCAATACACTGTCTAGATGATGGAAAGCTTTTTTTTTTAAATCGGATTCAAATTCTGCACGGATATTTCAGAAACATAAAATATATTTATGGCCTGAGATAGTGAGCTTCTGGCCACTGTGTTGTTTTTATTTATTATACTTTACATAGATTTGTGAAGTGCAGTTTGTAAACCAACAAGGATGCTGTTTCTCAGCTCAGACAAACGGATAAGTCAACATAGAACTTTGCATAGATGTAAGACAGTTCAGCTTGTCACACTTCACAGTGATATGCATAGAAGTGAATAAAAAATTACGACACTGAAGTAGATGAGAATGGGAAAAAAAAGAAAATAAGTAAATGATTAGTATATATGTAAAATTCGGAAGACAATAAGAAGTGAACACTTGTGCTCAACCACTGATTCGTAACAACTTCAAGACCCAAGTTATATAATTTATGCTTCCCAATACAGTTCAGATAAATAGTCAGTGATCTCATGACTTGATGGTATGTCACTCTTTGGTTTCTTTCAGCTTAATAATACTTCAGAGTGGATTGAAGAAAAGAAAGAAACTGAAAAAAAGTACAGTATAAAAGCAAAACGAAATCATCAAAACTTGCGAAATGGTCAGAAAAAATCTGAGTGCAAAGTGAAATACATGAGTAATCAACAATCTTAGGGTCCTTTATTCAGTGAAAGGTTATTGCTTCACTTGGTATCTAGAAACAATTGAACTCCTAACGACAATTTTATCGACATGAAAGCATGAATGAACAATCTGAGGGAAAGCCGCTTGAGGTCGATCACACATAACCTATTCTATATAACTTGTTTTCGACTCTGCGAGAAAAACTTTGCGATGACTACCGGCATTCTATGGGTTAAAAGGTTTCATGATCACTTCTCAACAGTAAGAAGTAGAATATATGGAGATTATGCTTAATCTTTGGAAAACATCTAGGTAAAGCCAGTAATACGATTTTATCCTTCATTTTGAAGCAAGTTAATTTTAATTAAACTGCTCTCTAACCAATGTTTTCCAACATGGTAAGATCTAAATTAGCAAGTGGTTAAATAAAATTAACAAATTTAGCCACCTCGACTGCCACAAAAAAGCAATGGCTATCATAACGTCATTTGATGCACTGTAGTATCTGCCTTTGTTATCTACTTCACGTTCACCAATTCAGGGATACTATGAAATCACATTTACTAAATCCTGTTTAGTTCTCTTTACAGGAAAATAAGACTATGGTCTATTGGGTGATGAATACAACATCAGACACTGTATCTGTACCACTAAAGTCGACTCCAAGACAACTGAGATGAGGATGCAATGAGCCAGTTCAATTTTAAGGTTTGTGAGGATTTATTTATTGATTCCAAGTAAGCATCCATAATGGACTGATATCAGTTGGAGAAAAATTAGAAACTTGACAGCTTTGGACAGCTATTTCATCCTAGTATGGGAATCCTCAACAATGGGCACCCATGACCTCTCCATAGATCAAACCCAAGACGTAACATGCTCCCCGCAGAACATGGAAGTCCTGGGTTCGACCTATGGTAGGGTCAAAAAGTGCGGACTTCTGAGGAGTTCTATACTAGGACGAAACAGCTGTCCAGTGCTCCCAGGTTTCCAATGTTTCTTCAACTGGTGTCAATCCATCATGAATGCCAACCTGAAATGGCCTAGTTCTTTATTTCAGCAGGTTAATCAAGTAGACTAACAACCGGAAAAAGCTCAAACCAGTGAAATCAAGTATTACCAGGTTGTTCTCATCTAACTACCCCAGGTCTCCTATCAAACTGATGATATTAATAGGACTTTAGTAACACTGATCTTAAACACCGCATTATGGATAGTTCCGTAGGTGTATATAATATATTTAGCTCCTGATAAAACAAAGTGATGACCTTAATAAATGATCCTACATTCACTTACTTGACAACTCATTTCAGTAACCACTAAAGCAGTTATCTGATGATTTTTACCATTTTCAATTAATTTCTGATTCACCTTCCGAAAAGCTTCAAATAAACCAGGTCCAGGTAAACAATGTACTGTCACCATATCACACCATTCAGCAATTTTATAAACACCGTATAAAAGTTGATTTAAAACTGTTTGACCAATATCAGCTAATTTCCTTTGGAAAACAAAATGAAGAAAGAAAAGTGAATGTAATAGTCTTAACATTGTACAAATATTTCATCGCCTAATATTTAGAACTTACTGATAAAAGGAGGGAAAATGGCAATCACAAGTAACAGTATAGCTAGTGATACTGAAGATTTACCAGTGGAAATCCTGGGGAGCAGTAGTAATTTTATTATGACACGGATATTGAAAAACAGAATCATGTTTATGACTTTGAACATACTATAGTAGTATTATTAAGTGTCTTACAAAGTGAAAAATATGATACTACGTTGATAATAATAGTGATCGAGAGCAATAGGCAGTTTGACTCATATAAACTCAAAAAGCAATTATTGGTTCCTGTATTAACTGAATAGAAAAATATACCCATTTATTCATTAACAAGAACAAGGCATGTATCAGCGAAGAAATATTTCTTCGCTGATACATGCCTTGTTCTTGTTAATAAATAGAAAAACCACAAAACGAATATTTAAAGACTGTAATCCGTGAGGAAGACTTAAATAATACGGGCTGAAATAACAATAATGGTCAAACACTTCGACCCAATAAAACAACAAAGAATAACAAGTATATCAATAAATAGTGATAACTATTACTCGTTGTAGAAGAAGTGGCTATCGTGCTTCTGTGGCATAGTGGATTAATGCCTTGGCGTTTGAAATGTTGAGTACAAGGTTCGAGACTCAATGGGAACAACATCACTCACTGGAGTGCAGATATATCCAGATGACAAGTCCCAAATAAGACGAAACGCCCGTCCTGGACTCTTATGCCAGCCACAACCAACCAGGTTATTATAACAATAATGCTACTAATAGGGTGACGTTAAGGTTGAATGATAACAAAAAGGGTTACGTAAGATTCTTAAATCGTTTATAAGGTGCATATCATCGATTAGGGGATGAAAACGTGGTAGAGTTAATAAACATTCAAGGGATTAGGTAATATGAATGAGACAAGTTAATTGGAATAAATTGAAAATGTTTTGTTAAAAGTTGCGATCATTAGGAAGATCAAATGAAATAACACCGGAAACAATTAAATATAAAAATATATATGATAATAACAATCTAAGAGTATAAAGATCAATCTGAAAAAAGAGGAAGTTGAAAAAACAGAAAAGAAACGAAGCAAACCAAGACCAAAATAAGTTAAGGCTAAGATAGAGACAAAGTCTATACATACTTCTTTTGCACACAATGGCCAGGCTTCAGTTCATGGATAGCCAAGGTCTTCGCTGTTTTTAGAAGTTGGAAATGAAGGAAACGTAAGATGCTTAAGCAAATTCGACAGACAAACTTAAAATCATTGTTTCGGTCGGTTGAATGGTTGGAATTGATTAAATACTCAAGGACAAAACTTCTGACGCATTTCTTTTCCCTCTTATATCACCAGGCTGCAATATGTTCTCGCATACGTGTTGGTAGGAATCTCTAACTGCGGCCGACGTTCTATGCTCCATAGGAGCAGGTGAACTGGTAGATAGACATGGATGTAGCCTGTCGAGGGATATTGTCTTTCACACAAACGGAGAAATATTCACTTTTTTCATGAATCTCCAATCTAAAAGTGATGCAGCACCTGAAAAATTGTCTTTTCGGATATATCAGTAGGACTTTTTTCACACGTGAAAAACTTCATTTGATCCCTACGAGTCGTGAATTGTTCTCCGTTTGTGTAAAAGACAATATCCCTCGACAGGATACACCCATGTGGTGACATGGAACAAGAACAGTCGTGTTGGGCAAGTATTTGTTGGTGGATCATGCTCACTTGGATGGAGTTCAAGAGATCGTGCAGGTCAGTGACTTGGGATCGACGATTACTATTATTATTATTAATTTTCCCTTCGGGTCCCAGTGGAACATAGGGCTTTAGTAGCACGTCTCCATTTCACTCTGTTCTCCGCAGTCTTTTCAACCTGACTCCACAAGCTTTCACACCTTTTTCACATGATTTCCTCCACATCACCCTCGCCTCACACGCACAACTAGTCGTTTCCCATTTGAGTTCCATTCGAAAGCCTCGATTGCCGCGTGATGTCCCAGAACGGTCTCCTCAGTGTATGCCCACTCCGATCTATCTCCACTTTCTGCATATGTGTTGGGCGATAGGTTCTTGGTTGGTTCGTTGCCAGCGAGGCAGAGTTCCTTCTTGCTTATTCTTTCTGACCATCTCATCTGATCTTCAGTATCGAGTGAGCTAAGGCGGCAGCTGTTGATGTGATGTATGTGTGTAGTTTGTTGGAAATGCTTTCGTAACACACCAAGTCTCTCAACCATCACATAGAAGCACTCACTGACTTGACTGACATCAGTGTTGAAAATCCGGATCTTGTTCACGCTCTATGCTGAATGTAGTGCAGTAGATCTCCACACTAATTTCAGATTATTGAAGGCCAATCTTCCCTTTCGAATTCTAGCTTTGACATTCCCATCTGTGTGGCAGCCGCCGCCGGTAGTTGAAACGATACTACCCAGGTAGGTGGGTGAAAGAGACAACTTCCTTTAGGTTTCTCCCGGTCATCGTGATTGGTCCTTCTTCTGGCTGTTATTGTTGTTTGGCTATCTTCATCACCCCTGTCTTCTCTACGTTCACCTAAAGGAAGTCCCGTCTTCCTTCGCTGACTCGCCTCTCCCGTCAACTTGTTAGTTTTCGCCTACAGATCTTCAAGTTTGCACCACACTAGACAGACATAAATCAACATCGGTAAAATCCAAGTCTTCTTATGGGGTCTTTTCACCGGTCAAACAGCGTATGCCCATCTACTCACAGCTCCTCACATTTTGTTGCATGATCCAGTCCAGTCGACTATAATCAGGAAGATCATCGGTGATAGTAAGCGGCAACCTTGTCTTACCTGTCAACCTCTCTTGACTTCAAACGCATCACTGAGTAGCTTTCCATTGTGAATCACTTGGCATGTAGCATCACTATCATCATACTGTAATTGAATGAGGCTGATGAAAGTTTGTGGCACTGAAACAGTAGTGTTGAATCAGCTGCCTGTCAAATTACTTCTCGGTCCAAAGGCTATCCAAAGGCCTTCTCAAAGTCGATAAAGTTGAGGTAAAGATACAGTTGACTGGCATTCTATGCTCTGTTCCATGATGATGAGTAGCGTAACCTTGCAATTTGATCCGCACATGATTTGTTCTTCCTAAAACCAGACAGCCAGCCAGCCAGGCTGTTCTGGTCAGAGTTTTCAACCCGACGCCTTTTCAGTCTCTCCAGGATGATGCGGCTTAAGATTTTGCTTGCGTCATGTGGATAGCAAAATGATTCCGCGCCAGTTATTCCAAACACTTAGCTAGTGTCGACCTCCTTTGGGAGTTTGACAAGGTTACACTTCTTCCAATCAATTGGCAGTTACCTTTCCTTCCTTCCAAACCCTCTGTAGCAGTGATGTAAGCATGTTCACCGTTATCTCTGAGTCTGTTTTCAGCGTTTCTGGAGGAATTCTATTTGGTCCTGCTGCTTCCTCGGATTTCAGCAACATTATGGCGTGGCGTTCAAAACTTCACTTCAGCTTTTGTCGGAGAACTTGTGTTCACTGATAGTTCTGTGGCTGGGCTGCTGCTGGTGGTGGTCGATTCAAGAGTTTTTTGAAGTGGTCAGCCCATGTCTTCTTTGTTTCTCCTCTTTGGTATCTAAGTTTTCTTGACTATCACTCATGGGCTTCATCTGCGTTGATCTCCTCTCCAAGATAGTAGTCTGGTTATTTCATATAGTGTTGTCAGGTCTCTGTCTCTTCCACCTCACCTGCAGCATGTTCTGCTTCACTTGCCAATGTGTCGCAGAAGTGTCTTTTGTCTTTCCGCGAACTCTTTTTCACTTCTTTGTCCAGTGTAGTGTTCTATGGGTTGTACTCAGTTCCTCTTTTCGTTGTTGATCCCTACACTGCACTGCACTGGTTCATCTTCTGCTTCACCATCACCATCTTCCTTTCCCTCCTCTATTATCTTCTTCCATGTGACCGTTGAGATCGATAACTTCGATTGCTTCTTCTTCCTTCCTAACACTATTATGCAGGTTTCCTTCCACATCTCTGTCAACAAGTTCCAGTGTTCTTCAATACAGGTTTCCTCGGGAATGTTGCCTAATGTCAACCATTTTTTCATGATGGCTGATTGACTAACGTGAAGATGTCCTTTTTAGTTTCATCCTTCATTTCAGTTTCTGCTCTGCGTGTAGAACTTCAACTGTGGTCCATCACTAACTTCTTTGAAGGCTTCAATTTCATTTTGAAAGTAGGTTTCTTGCACTAGATAGTGCGTGGTGTGAACCTACATCTGCTCCTCTTCTTGATCTGATCTTGTGTCATGTAGGCTGACTGCATCTCCACTTTCTTCACATTGACATGAAGTCAATCTAATTTTTAGTGTGTCCTGGTGTCTGATGAAATCCATGTCGCCTTGGGAATATCATTGTGTTTGTACACACTGCCTCCAATCAACAAATCATTAAATGTGCAGAGGTCTGTAAACACTTCTCCATTCTCATTCATTTCACCGACTGCTTCTCAAACCATGATGGTGAGTTCTGTTCCTGTGTTGTCTGCTCCCATTTTGGCATTCATGTCACCCCACCCATCAGAATTTGATGTCGCCATCTGGGGTTGGGTCTCATCCAGTACTGATTGCAGTTGTCTGTAGAATTCCTCCTTCTTCTCTTCATCTGCATTATTTTGTAGGTGCGTAGCGTAGCATTGTATGGTTGTAACTCTCTTTCCTTTTGAGTTGAATCCATCCTACTGTCGGTTCCCACTGAATGAGAGAGAGCTTCCGATGCTGTTGGGGACATCATGATAGCCACTCCAAGACTCAGTGTGCTCGTGGTTGTCGTTTGGGTGACAATATCGGAGTAGATTATTGACTCTCCAGTTGACAGTTTGTAGAGTCCACTTCTATTCCATCTGCTTTCTCAGACTACTAGCCTAACACATCTATGTCATATCTTCTCACCTCGTTTGCAATCTGAGCAGCCTTCCCAGCTAGATTCAAATAGAGTGCGGACATTCCATATCCGCATGTTTACTTTTGCTTTCATGGAGAGAAGAGAAGAGACATCGGCCCGATCAATTGGTTTCCCGAAGGCTTTTACCAACGGGTATCGTTTTGTCTCTCCGATCCCAGCCAGGTATAAGTTAATTTTTATTTTCTATATTTTCTTTGTGCTTTGAAGTTTCTTTAGCGATCGTATTGGTTTTAAGGGGTAGGATTGCTAGTTTTATGCCCAACCTTCCCTCTTTACCCGCGCTTAAGGACGGGTAGTGAATAGTGAAATAGTAACAAGGCGAGGTTAGAATAGATGAAAGTGGTGATTATGTCGCAGGTATTTTTGTTTTCTCTACTTGTTAAGAAATGCAAATTTGACGAAAGCCTTCTCTCAACGAATATCATCAAACCAACTGTCTGCTTACTTTTCTTTTTTTCTCCTCACCCCTTTTCGATTTCGACTTCATGGTATTTTATATTACGTTCTGTGGTGCACTTCATTCAGTCGAAGAAGATGGATGAGTAGTGAGACTCCGAAAAGCCGAACCAAATAGCTGTAAAGCACCTGTAGAGACTAGCCCAATACAACTACCCCTCAGCATACAGTGTCACATCATAGACTGAACATCTATCCACTTTTTTTAACCAGTTTCAATATCAGTAAACAATAAGGGGGAAGAAAACCATTGCCAGTATGCATGACACATGACCGAGTCACTTATATAGAATGACTCCGGGTGATGATTGTAGATGGAATGAAAATTTGGACCGCGGCTAGACTCGAACCAGAGACTTATTTAACGATTATTCCCACGTTGACAAAACACTTCCAGATCCTAGAATTACTTATACTGCATCGTCATTCGATGTAAGCACTCTTAAGGAAAAAAATTGTAACCAGATACAAACAGACATGGCAAATTTTCATCTGAAAAAGGCCAGGTTTCAAAGGTGTGAGGCGAGAATTCCAACTTCAAAGTGTTTTACACCCAAACTTTTACGACTAGAGCAAAATTCAGACAGCCTTACACGTGATGTTGATTGGCATATGGCTCCTCGGCTCTCAATATTCACAGGAAAATCTCATTCATCACAACTTAACTAGCAACAGAACAACTACTCACATAAAATATAACCACTTCTAACGCTCTATCACCAAGAGCGAATGCAAAACTTCGCTCTTTTCATAGCATCATCTTATGAGTCCATCTAATGCTCATCTCTACACCTCTCTCAATGGGTTGAAAACTAGTGTGGAATATAATGGGACCAGACAGACAATATCAATGTAGGAACTGGCATTAACTACGAAGCAGTCCAACATACCACACCTCATATCACCATAACACATGAAAGATAAAAAATAAAGAAAAAAAGTGGTGGAAAGTCATCGGAAGAAAGAGTCAGAAAGAATGATAGAATACTGAAATTCAGTCTGACGATTAAGATGAAGATAATGTAAGAATACCTCTCCATCACTGAAATCGATTTTGAGCCAAATCATGTAGAATCAGGAAACACTGGTTTTTGATTAGTTTAGTGCATGTACTAAAGTATAGTGAGAAGCAAGGGATACTATGCCCAGCATCCCAACAGCAGAAACTAGAAAATAAGTCGTTGCTGGTTAACAAATAAATTACGATCTGAAGAAGACTGTGGTTAACAACCTCTCTTGTCGGAGATCCAACCGCATTAGTCAACCTCCTCCAAGCCCAGATGGTCACTTTGGGCTTAAACTTGTTAGATAGTAATAGTATAATTGTGGAGCCTAGTTGGCTAAGTTGATCATATAGTGGACGATAGAACTTACTCTTTGTTTCATCCGGAAGCAAAACTGTCAGGTTTCTCAGCGAGCAGGTTACTATTCAGTTGATGGATTAAACGCGATAATACTAGATGTGATGTGCAAAACAATTTTGGGAGAACATTGTTGAGTAATCCCAAACAAGGATGAAACGATTGTTGAGCACTGGCTGACAAAATGTCTGCACAGATACCCGAGGCTCGTTTGACTTTTGCCAACTTACGCCACCTGTGGCGTCGCCGTGATATCCGATTGTCCATTAACGATCGAGTGCACTGTGCTACAGTCCTCTCTGTTATACTCTATGGCTGTGAAACATGACCATTAAATGTAGAAGAAATGAGAAGGATTCAGATGTTTGACCACCATTACCTTCGTAGCATAGACTGTATTCCGTGATGTCACCACGTGAATAACGCAGAAGTCAGGTGTAGAGTTTTAGGGAGAAGAGGTAAATCAGTTGACGAGGTTGTGAACCTTCTTCGACTGAGATGGTTGGGACATATGTTACGTATACCTAACGACCGTCAGCGTTGTCACACAATGATGACCGAAGTAGGCTCAGGTTGGAAAAAGGCTCGTGGCGGCGAGAATAAAACATGGTATTCATGCATGAAATCCTTGACTGTTGTTCTGAGGCATGTTGGGCGATGCAGACTAGTTGGTTGAGGTCCGTGGGACAAGAGAAACCAGCGGTTGGCGAGTCTAGGTGATATGAATGAGAACCGATGTCAGTGGTGCAGATGCATACTCACATTATCCCCATCTTGACCGCTATACCTAGTCCCATCATCATCTCATTCTTGCTTCCTCTCTTCCACTACTTTCTACTTCTACTTCCTTCAACCGATTTCCTTTTCCTTCTTCATCTCTCATTTTATTACCTTGTTACTTGATGTCTTGATTTGAGGTGTGGCAACTTGGACCGTTATGCAGTAATGCCTGGTCCAATGTTGATTTTGATGATAATGAGATTTTGAACATTCCTCTAAAGTGATTTCAACGTATGATGCATATTGTCGTGGTATCATTGCATTTTCTGTAAGATAACAATCTGAATGAATAAGATTGCAGTTTAACTAAGAAATTCAATAACAATATTACAACTAACCTGTCTTCAACAATTAAAAATCCATGCTTAGAAGATAAATCACATAGACCTTTGATTACCATTTCAGGGTGTTCTATAGCTAGTAAAATATCTAGATGTAATTTAACAGCACATATTTCTGGGCCTAACTGATCCGTTAACTTAAGTAATTCACATGGATCTGATGTATCAATAGCCACGCATAGACGTGATTGTTTTGACTTTATAATCCGATTGAATCGATCTAATTGGGAAGAATGAAATTGTAATACAGTCGGTATCTGAAAATAAAAAGTAAGCACGCGTAGAAAACCATATAAATAAACAACAACCAGTGAATATTATACACGTGGAAATAAGTAGAATAAAGCGATTTCTTAAGTGTAATACACTGCTAACAGACTATTACTAGATGGATCAATCTCTCTTCTTCAATTTTCTCTGCAATACATTAATTTGAATAGGAAATACGTGTATGAAGGCAAAAATGGAATAGTGGTTGTTTCATATGCAACAACATTTAGTTAATTGATCGATTAAAGGATACACTCTAGTCAGAAAGGAACATCGAATCGTACCAAGTCATACTCATCACATGAAGGTGTAGTTACATATTCAAAGAAATAAATATCCTGACAGTTAGTTAAGACCGTGGTGTTCAATACTGTAAAGTAACATAGCACATAACTGAGTCCGCTTTTCCTGAAACAGAAAAGAGTTTTACATAAAAATAGTTTCTTTTACTGTGAATTGGTGTATCATCTCTCGGGACCTATAAATAATATCATTGAAAGAAGAGATTATTGTCAACTTTCGAAGTAATAAGGAATGAGGATATTTAAGCAAAGAATCTCTCATAATAAAGGTTGAGAAATTCAAAAATAACCTCTGGATAACACTGTTAACCGTTACTTAAGTATTACAACACTGAACATAACTGTAATATGCTCAAATACAGTTACCAGTGCTTTGGATAAAGAACCCATGCACTAAGAAAAGCAACAAAAGCCACTGTTTGAATATTTGGTCCGATAAACATTTAATTGTCGTCAATAACAACTAGCAACACTTTTATTCGGCCGCTTATAAAATCAACTGAAAGACAGGCATAGCAATATTTTACAGCTTCAAATCAATGACGGAGGAATTCAGCGAGAAGTTCTCATTTTCTAGAACATTTTCTTAGGTACCCAATCACATGTGCAAGAGTGATTTACATTCTGACATAGTTTGATATCATATCTAATTTTCTACTTAGCATAGTGATCGTTTTTCTAAAATAGCAGAAAGATATACAGTTTTTAGACCAGTACATAACTAGTAACTTAGTTCGTTACAAATACGCTTGCACTCAGCATTTCTTATCGAATTTCCTCGTCATAATACACCTCAATTACTGAATAGGTTGTGTTAATCTTAGTGAGGAGGTGACCACCAAAATCTTGGCATAGATATGTAAAGTTGGTTTGGTATTTTTTTTTCAAATATTCTGCTTGAGTGATACAGACACTGCCAAAAAGATTAAATAGTCATACACTCTCGTTTACCACACAGATGTCAATGTAGACCAAATAAGAGGCTATATTTATTGGATTACAGGTACTTTCCGAATGTTCCTCAATCTTGATGAGACCAATAAATGGACCGAATTGAAGTTCAGCGACAGAGCAAGACAAGTAAACCGACATACTTTTGAACTTCCACAGAATACGATAGTTGGAACGTATGCAATGTACGACAAGTCAGTGCTCATCTCGGTATACAAAGTTGGCCAAAGTGGGAACATGATGAAAGATACTTCAGAGCGATAAGACCACCAATTCATAGAACGTTTCACTATTGATATGATTTGTGTAAGCGAGTTCAGGCAGTCCGGCTACTAAGTAGAAGATTTCAGAAATTTGTAATGAGTGATTCTGAGTGACATGTCATACACATATTACCGATAAGGTATATACGCCCACACTTCATTTTTCGTCTTGCTTAGAATGCCTTATCATCCTACATTCGTATAGTTTCCTTTTAGAAGTGACTTTTCGCTCAAATCATGTAACACAGATTTGATGTCAAAGATAGTCTTTTTTCAGTGATATCACTTTCAAAAGCTATGAAACCGTATTTATATTCAAAAGAGTCGATACTTAACAAGATGAACAATCTAGAAGGGAAGGAAGAAAGAATTGAGTGTTTTACGTATTAAGCATGAAGATGATCTGTTGAACTTAGAAGTGCAAAACATTAAGTGACAACTAATAAATTTACGATAAAAATCATGAAAATTTAGTAAAACCACTATCCTGATCATGGAAAATTCAACGAGTTATATGCAACACCTTCAGTATATAGATCAGGGCTGAATTTAAGAGTCGCTAGTGATTCAGTTATCTAGTAGTGGTGGTAATAGTCGATGTAACAATTGAAGTAATTTGAAGTGTTATTGAGGGACTTTGTAAACTACTTTGCACAGCTAAACGTTTACAAGTGAGAAGTCGACCCAAAAAAGCTCGCCAGTATTTTTTTCTCCACCCTTCTAGACCCCTCTACGGAAATAATGTTTCATCTGATCTGTGTCCGGTCCTTAACACTGACAATCTGTTGAAGAATATGATTCACATCTTTAGACGTTACTTTTGAAGATTTTGTCTCTTAGATAGCCGGTGAGTTCCAGATTAAAGTAAAAGATTCTCTTTAAAGACAGATGCAGTCTTCTGTGTTCAGGTTTTCTTCATATGCTGGAGTCAATGATTCAAGGTTGATATCCATTCTCTAACAGAATATCATGTAGAAATTTTAACTCCATATCAATGGTGATGAAAACAGTTTAAAGTCATTTTACAGTAAATTTAATGAAAGACAATCTATACTATTAAACTTCTGGTTCAAAAGTGTAAAATAGACCACAAAACAATAAGTAAGTAAAATGATAATTATATTACCTCAGGTGCCGGAGAACTACGAATAAATGAGACAGATTCATCAAATTGTGCTGTAGTGATACGTTTTTCTTGATGTAAAATGCTTAGCAATTCAGTTAACGTGAATAAACTAGAATGTAAATAAATGTGAATTAACAAGGTTACTGAAAGTACATCCAAAAAGATAATTTAAAAGAAATTATATTCAACTCCCTATTTCCTGACTTAACTAATAAAAAAATTCCCATTTAGACAATTAGTAAAAAAAACAATGTGAGCAAAGAAATATTTCTTTTCAATTAGTTCCTCATCAATGGCTCTACACTAATATAACATTTTCAAACGTAAAATTACATACCAATCTAGTGGTGAGAGTTGTTCAATGAAAGGTTATCAATCTCAAAGTATCAAGAAGGTTATAATTGATCAGTAATTAAGACAGTTAACTAAAGCAAAGATTAATTATCGTAGAAAGATTTTGTGAACAGGCAATTATCCGAATCCTTAAAAAAGCTGAAATAGCAAGGCTTCATTTCACAAAATGAGTATGAAACACTCAGACCTACTGGCACAGTAACACCGAGGTTGTATGGTTTACCAAAGGTGCATAAGAATGGATTACCATTCCGACCGATTTTTGACATGTCAAACTCTTCATACCATGTGACGGCGAAATGGCTAGTACAACTCTTGAAACCATTGCATAAGGAGGTTGTAAAGCATAGCGTCAAAGATACTTTTCACTTTATCGATAAAATAAGAGATTTGAATGTGAATAATAAGTCTATGATATCCTTAGACGTATCATCCCTATTCACAAATGTCCCTCTGATGGAAACAGTGGACTTCATATGTAGCGAACTGGAAAAGAGAAACATAGAAATTGGAATTACGGCATCCACCTTGAAAGAGCTTCTCTTACGATGTACAATGAATGTACACTTTCTCTTCAATAAGGAATTCTATAGACAGTCAGACGGTGTCGCTATGGGGTCACCACTAGGCCCAATCTTAGCGGATTTCTTCTTAGCAAAATTAGAAAATGGCCCTCTGGAAAGCATCATAAGCGGGTTAGAATTTTATTGCCGTTATGTAGATGATACATTCTTGATTGTGAATAACGAGGACGATGCAAGGATCATACTGGATGAATTCAATGGCGTCCATCCAGCAATAACCTTCACTATTGAAACAGAAAGTGACGACAGCATCACCTTCTTAGATGTCCGATTGACAAGGAAGGTGGATGGAACTATAAAAAGAAGTGTGTATCGGAAACCAACGTCAACAGGTCAATACACCCACTTCTTGAGTTTCGTCCCCTTGCAATATAAACGAAATCTCGTTAAATGTTTGGTCCATCGGGCGAGACTCATCTGTTCAGATGATACTTTTGACGAAGAGCTTCAAATTATCCACGATCTACTCAGTAGTAATGGATATCCAGAAACGTTCCTGGCTAAAAATATGAACACATCCAATATGAAAACCAGAATGCCTACAGTCTCCAAGAAACCATTGTTCCTAAGACTACAATTTCGAGGTGACATCATCAGCGAAATTGTGACACAACGCTTAAGAAATGCCATAAGAAGATCATTTAATGCCGCCAAGTTATGTTGTGTTTTCTACAGCCGGCCGATGATGACCACACGAACTAAAGACAGACTCCCTGACTTCTCCTCTTCTATGTGCATTTACCAGTTCAACTGCTCCTGTGGAGCTAGTTACATTGGACGTACAGTTAGGCAAGTCCGTCGTCGAATCGCCGAGCATCATCCTTCATGGCTAAGTAAGGGGGAAACCAGATTGACACGAAGCTCAATACTCTCTCATCTGATTGACACCGGCCACCGAGTTAACATTCATAATGCCTTTAAAGTTATTTATCACATTCCTTCTCACCTCACCCATCCTCTACGAGTTCGTCTTTTACATACAGCAGAAGCCATAGGAATCCACCTACACAAGCCAAGTCTGTGTGTTCAGAAGAGATTCGTACAGCCTCTTTCTTTGCCTTGGCCATCTGTATAGCTCATTTATTACAACAAGACTCTTCATTTCATCCACCACACAATTCACTATAACTAATATTTTAATAGCTACATTATTATTATTATTACTATTATTATTATTACAGACTTAACCATCTTTCTCTCCCCCTACTGTCTCTAATTACCGTCAACAATTTACCATTTTACGTAACAGTTCATTTTTGCTCTTTAGTTATCATTATACAAAATATCAATTATGTAAGAACCTGTTCACAAAATCTTTCTACGATAATTAATCTTTGCTTTAGTTAACTGTCTTAATTACCTGATCAATTATCACCTTCTTGATACTTTGAGATTGATAACCTTTCATTGAACAACTCTCACCAATAGATTGGTATGTAATTTTACGTTTGAAAATGCTATATTAGTGTAGAGCCATTGATGAGGAACTAATTGAAAAGAAATATTTCATTGCTCACATTGTTTTACTAATAAAAAATTAACACAATTTCAAACCAATGGTTCAACTATATAAAAATTCGTATATTCTGCTGAAAAAGCTGTGGCTTACATAGCAAACAGTTGAGAAATATCTTATTTTGATATTCTAAACACGCTGATTAAACCAGGTTCGACGCTCAACTTCTTCCATGACATCTGTAACAACTAGGGACTGGATGCTTATAATCTCAATTGTACAACTACAAACTGATTTTTCGATAGGCTACCCTGATACAACTTTGCAGAATACACTAGTCTCACTGCACAGTTTAAACAAAAATGAGTCGCGATAGGATGTGAAACACAAACCCTAGATAACTTCCCATTTTAATCTATTGATTATGAAACACACTAATGCCAACCAAGTTTCATTTTGCATGTTAGGAAAACGAGATGAAGCGACTTTTACTACTCTATATTCAGACCAACTAACCAATAATTAAAACTGACTGAACTGAAAAAAACTAGGAAAATCAACGTAGAACATCGCACACAAGTGCATCGGGTCAACTTGCCACACTTCACAGTAGTACAACACAAAGAATAGGTGGATAGGAAAAGACTGATATCAAATTAGACAAAGTTGTGTAAGACAATAAACAATCTGAAAGTAATGGTAAGTGCAAATATTCAAGCTTTAGATGTCGACGAGTGAATACGTCTGCATCACTGTCATCGATTTCCAGCCACGTTATAAAGCGTTCTCAAGCACTGATTCCTTTCGTCTCAGCGACCACAACCACCCGGTCCACATCTCCCTACCCGACTCAGACTGACAGTCAGACTTCATCGACTGGTGCCATGTCTTAATTTGGCCACCCTTCAACCTAATCCAACTTCCCCTAACATTGGACGTCGAGGTAGTAGTGGATCGGCATGCGCGGTACATCTTCAAGCCATCTTAGTCGACTAAGGTTCACAACCTCATCAATCAACTTGTCTATCTTGTCTGACACCCTTCGCCTGACCTAAACATTCTCAAACGTTGATTCCACGAAACGCAGGCAGTACTATGCAGATACCTATGATCGGAAGCATGTAACCCCTTCGTATCTTATACTTTCAACGGCCATGTCTCGGACGTATTTATTCATCTATCCAAATCAACATAGGATCAGGCATTACTGCGTAACGGTCCAAGTTACCACAACTCATATCAGTACATCAAGTAAAAAAGCAGTGAAGTGCAAGATGAAGAAACGAAATTCATTCAAAAGAGAGAAAGGAAGAATGAGAAAATAATGAGATTCGATAGAGCGTTAAGATGAGGATAATGTGTGTGTATACATCTGCGCCACTAACATCGGTTCTCATTCATATCACCTAGACTCGCCAACCACTGGTTTCTCTTGTCCCACGGACCCCAACCAACTAGTCTGCATCGCCCAACATGCTTCAAGGCAACAGTTAAGGATTTCATGCATGAATACCATGTTTTAGTCTGGCCGCCACGAGCCTTTTTCCAACCTGAGCCTACTTCGGTCAACATTGTGTGACGACGCTGACGGTGGTTAGGTATACGTAACATATGTCCCAACCATCTCAGTCGAAGAAGGTTCACAACCTCGTCAACTGATTTATCTCTTCTCCCTAAAACTCTATACCTGACTTCTGCGTTATTCACGTGGTGACACCACGGAATACAGTCTATACTATGAAGGTAATGGTGGTCAAACATCTGAATCCTTCTCATGTCTTCTACATTTAATGGTCATGTTTCACAGCCATAGAGTATAACAGAGAGGACTGTAGCACAGTGCACTCGATCGTTAATGGACAATCGGATATCACGGCGACGCCACAGGTGGCGTAGGTTGGCGAAAGCCAACCGAGCCTTTTGTATCCGTGCAGAGATTTCATCGGCCACTGAGCCACCAGAGCAGGTGTGAACCTACTTCCCAGATAAGTGAAGTGGTTGACACACTCAATCACTATACTCTCTACTGTTAGCCACGTGGGGCACCGCTGAAGACCAGTCTTGGAGCAAACATTTGCATCGGGTGGTGAGAAACGTATCCCAAACATTCTCAAATTCCCACTCAGTGTCCAGAAGACTCTGCATCTTGTCAGCTTCTTCACCTAACAGGACAATGCCATCTTCATATTTTAAGTCTAATGAAAATCTCATGCGATTAGTTCGACCTCTGTGTAATAAGGTGACGTGAGGAGACCTCCATGAGAATATCTATGATAAAATTAATAAGAATGGAGACAGTGGGCACCCTTGACGGACACCACTCGATGAGCGTCGCTCCTTGGACATCTCACCATAGGCTGTAACACGCCCACAAGTGCTAGAGTAGAGAGCCTTTAATAAGGTGATGTACTTACACGGCACGCCTATCAGTAAGAGACATTGCCATAAGACTTCTCCATCAAGGGAGTCGAATGCCGCCACCTTCAGGTCGAGAAATACAGCTATTGTCGGGCGTCGTTAAGCGTGTCTGTGTTCAAAACGTAGTGTAGTGTGAATATTTAGTCGATGCGCCCGTAGCTATGTCTAAATCCTGCCTGGTTTTCTCGGGCTTGCTGTTCCCGAGCTCCACTCAGGTGTCGAATAATTATAGAACCTAGGATCTTGGACACTATGTTCGTCAGGCTGATTCCTCTGTGATTACCTCAAGAGGACTTCTCGTCTTTCTTGAAGACTGGAATAATCAGTGGTTCATACCAGTCAGAGGGGATCGTATTTGATTCCCATATACTGGTTAACACTTCCGATAACCTGACTAAGAGCACCTTACCACCATCCTTGTATACCTCTGGAGTTAGTCCATCTGGTTTAGCCGCACTTCCTCGTTTCAAGTCACCTACAGCTTTCTCGACTTCTCCTAGTGTCGGGGGGCCTATCTCAATGTTCCATTCAGGATCTGACTGGATAGCGAGCAACGTAATGGTGGGTGGAAGCCAGTGAAACACCCCTCGAAGTGTTCTGCCCATCGCTCCAGTCGTCTCTGAGAGTGAATAGCAGGTCCGTCCTTCTCCGCTATAGCCTCACTAAACGTTGTTGACCTTTTTCCCCCAGTCTCCTTAATAGTCTAATTAACTGTCTACTGTTACCAATTGCCGCTGCCTTTTCCATCTCTTTAGCCTTCGCTGCCCACCACTGTTTGCGGTCGTTGCGTAGACTTTTTCTCAATCTACTTTTAAGTTGCACCCGCCCTTCATTGTACTCAGAGCCTGTTGGGTGCGTTCACGTGCATCCATTAGTTCGGAAGAAGCTGCTGATATCCATTGGTTCTTTTTAGCCACTATTAAGATATATAAGTGGCACTTTCATCACACTACATATGCACCTTTAACATCAAGATATTCGCTATGGGTATTTTTACAAATATTTCAACATTCTCCATTACCATTACCATCATCATCATCAATATCAACATAGAACCAGGCGTTGCTGTGATACGATAAGCAAACCAGATAACAAATAATAAGCTGAAAGATGAAGAAAGGAAGAAGAATCGATCAAAAGTAGTAGGAAGCAGCAAGAGAGAAGAAGGGAAAATAAGAAAATATTGAATTCACTATAGCAGCTAAGATTGAAATAATGCTTGGATAAATCCGCACCGCGCTAGGAACCCAAAGTACAAATAAATAATAAATGAATGACAACATATGCACCACTGACACTGATTTTGACCCATATCACGTGGAGTCTCTACGATCAGTTTCTCTTGTCACGTGGTCTGCAACTAGCCACTCTACATCTCCCTACATGCTTCAGACCAAGAGCTTCATGTAGTGATGCCATGTTTTAATCTGGTAGCCCTTAGTCTTTTTTCTAGTTCGAACTTACTTCAGCTAATACTGCGCAACTAAGCAGACGGTGACTGGGCATACGTAACAAATGTTCAAGGTATCTCAGTTGATGAAGGCTCATGACCTTATCATATGACTTTCCACTCCTCCCTACTATTTTACAACTGACTTCTTTGTTATTCACGTGGTGACATCACGAGAGCGGCGGCGCCACTTTTATTGCTTCCACTACCACTGTTTTACTGACTCATAATAATACATATTCCTAAAGAAGCAATCCTAAACCTAATTTCATTTGTGTTAGTTTACGAAGTGCATAAATCATCGTCAAGGCTCTTGAAACACTAGCCCTATCGTGGTATAAAAAGGAGAGAAAGTGTAGATATTGTCTACATAGACTTAACAATTGTCAAACCGAAATTTTTAAAAAATGATCGTAAGGTTTCTGATTAAAAAAAAAGACGAAAATTAAATAGTGATCATGTTGAGAAATACAAAACTTACCTGGAAACTTTAATATTTTGTTTTTCTAAGTAAGAAGGTCCCCCTTGTTCTCGATCGATGATAATGATTACCTGTTCAGTGCATATACCAGATTGTCGAAGAAGCTATAGAGGTTAACAAGTTAATGAAAGGGGTTCATTGTGAATTTTTAAAGACACCTGTAAGTCATTTACATTGCTGCCTTTGTCTATCATTATTGAAAGGAAAGTTATGCTAAAATATTTTTGTGGAGTGACTTTCAAACTACTCTATCAACCGTCATAATTATGAAGTTCGTTATTGATATTGGCACTGCAATACAAGCGGTATAATCAAACATATTTTCAATGAAGTATAATGATTCTGACTGTGCTTATTTCCAATGGCTTTTAATTCTACTAGTGTAGCTGCTAGGGTAGCGTTTAAAGTCACTGACTGCTATCTTGTTCAAACTACAACAAACTCACTGTAAATTCCAATCGAAGTAATTGTAAAACAAAATGCACGACACAATAATCTATTGAATATGTATCAGCTTAATAAATAACCGATCATTTTCTCAAGCAATACAAGTATCCAAATAACCCACATATTGAAAACTACATGATACTCGAGCCTCAGATTGACTTTTCGGCTATCTGAGGACTTACTATAGTACATTCTGGAATTCCTGACAGTCCTAGGTAATGAAAGAAACCGGCTTTGACTGAATTCCCCACGTTGTTAATAACGACCTGTGAACTGATGAAGTATATTCATCAGCACGTCAATTAAAGGTCAGGATTACATGGAGGTAATCTGCTTTTTATATAGAATGTATCCAAAATTAACATGAGATGACCACAGGGTTTTTGATCACCCAAAATCTCAGAGCAGATATCGAGTGTAAGTAATCAGTAGGTGAAGATGCTCAAGTTCGGAAAACATGAAATAATGACGTTTACCTGCATTAACTTTAATTTACCTTGACCCACATTAAGATACTACCCATTTCCATGCAATATGAAGCCGGAGTAAGTTGGTGGCAGCTCCTAAAAAAACACAAAAAGACACTACACTAGGCTGGGGAATTTTAAAATACTGGTCGCAAGTGAGTGACAAACTTTAGGCTGGTTAGTTAGGATTTCAGAGATTATAGGAAATGGTTGACTAAGAACAATTTTTATTGATGGCATGGATTCATCGGACTACTTTCAAATTTCTACGGAGATTTGTTTTCAGTCTATATAAAACTACTTTATTGCTGCTTGTTTCTTCGAACACCAACTTGGTTAGTGACTTCGTCCATGCTTCCATGCTACATAATAGTGGTAATGAATGTTTCGCTTGTCAAGTGACGTATGATATCACTACTTTCAGTTAGATAAGATTTTTCACAGATCATAAAGCAAACTGTTACTACTAGAATCAGTCTTGAAAATAAGATACTGATGTGGGAAAGAATACGAATGAGGAACAATAGAATTGTTGACTGGGAAAATTCCACTAAGCACTGATAAAATATTAAACGTCGCACTCAAAGCACTTCAAGCAATAGTGTTTGATTCCATCTGAAGGTTTGTGAGGGTTTATTGATTGATTTTAGAATGGAATTCATTATGGAGTGATATCAGTTGGAGAAACATTGAAAATCTTAGAGTACTGGATAGCTGATCCCCGGCGGGGTCATAGGAGTGCACTACTGAGGAGTCCCATAATGGGGCGAAACAGCTGTTCAGTGCTCTCAGATTTCCAATGTTCCTACAACTGATCTCCGTTCATAATGAATTCTCCTTAAGTTTCTGTCGCTTTTTCGTTTGTCCTTTGTACTTCCTTCCGACATTTCACTTTTTTCTTCCAGAACTCAAACCGATTGAATGTCAACTTTGGTACATTTTCTCAGTGATGATGTATTACGCACTATTTATGTGCGTTCATATAAGCAACACTCGCCTCAGTAGGATTAGGCAAACAAAAATGTATTCAATTTTTAATTCAGTCCATAGCTGACAAGTAGTTCAAACCTATTATTCTCCAACTGTCATCTAGTAACCACGGGTAGAGAGCAGCAAAGGTTCCAGATGTCCTACAATTTCTGTGAGGTTCGAAACATAGTCTGACATCCGCTGTAATAGTAATTACTGAGGTATTAGAATCGAAGGTGACCTGGTAGCGAATCTCACGCTGATGAAATTCCATTATATATATATATATATATATATATATATATATATATATATATATATAACCTCGCCTGGTTAACTAGTTCACTAGTTACCAGCCGGTCCTAAGCCCGGGTAAAGAGGGAAGGTCGGGCGTAGGGATAGCAACCCTACCCCGTAAAACAAATCTAACCGCTAAACAAACTTCAAAGCACAAACAAAATATAAAAAATAAAAACAAAATTATTCCTCTCTGGAATCGGAGAGGCGAAATAACGCCAGTTGGTGAAAGCCCACAGGGAGACAATTGGCCGGGCCGATGTGTCTTCTCTCGATGAAAGCGAAAGTAAACGTGGGGACATGGAATGTCCAAACGATGTTTAAACCCAGCAAGGCAGCTCAGATTGCAAAGGAGATGAAGAGATATCATATCGAAGTGCTTGGAATTTGCGAAAGCAGAAGGAATGGGAGTGGACTCTCCAAACTGTCAACTGGAGAATCAATAATCTACTCCGGTATTGTCACCCAGACGACAACCACGAGCACACTGAGTGTTGGAGTGGCTATCATGATGTCCCCAAGAGCATCGAAGGCCCTCATGCAGTGGGAACCAATCTCCTCCAGGATCATGACAGCAAGATTCAACTCAAAAGGAAGGAAGGTCACAATCATACAATGCTATGCACCTACAAATAATGCAGAGCAAGAGAAAAAGGGGGAATTCTACAGACAACTTCAATCAACACTGGACAAGACCTCAGTTGGCGACATACACCAAACTAATGGGTTGGGTGACATGAATGCCAAACTGGGAGTGGACAACACAGGAAGAGAACTAACCATGGGTCGAGAAGCGCTAGGTGAGGTGATGAACGAGAATGGAGAATTGTTTGCAGAATCCTGTGCATTCAACGACTTGGTGATTGGAGTCAGGCAGTGTTTTCAAACACAAGGATATCCACAAAGCAGCCACATGGATGTCACCAGACCCAGGACACACTACACTAAAAATCAAATCGACTTTATCTCAATCTCAATAAAGTGGAGATGCAGTCTACTTGACACAAGGTGAAGAAGAGGAGCAGATGTAGGTTTACACAACTCACTATCCAGTGCAAGGAACCTTCCAAATCAAGTTAAAAGCCTTCAAGGAAGCTGGTGATAGACCGCAGTTCAAGTACAACACACAGAAACTCAAGGACGAAACTACAAAGGAAATCTTGACAGTCAGCCATCAAGACAAAATGGGAGATATCGAGGAACATCCCTGAAGAAACCTGTGTGGAAGAACACTGGAAGTCTTTGAAAGAGATGTGGAAAGAAACCTGCACAACAGTATTAGGAAGGAAGAAGAAAGAAGATAAGGAATGGATCTCGACGGATACATGGAAGCTGATAGATCAGGGAGAGGAGGATGGTGAGGCAGAAGATAAACCAGTGCAAGGATGCTCAACGACATGAGGAACTCAGTAAAATGTCAAAAATACTGGACAAAGAAGTGAAGAAGAGTGCACGCAAAGACAAAAGACACTTCTACGAAACACTGGCAAGTGAAGCAGAACAGGCTGAAGGTAGGAGAGATAGAGACCTGAGGACATTGTATCAAATAACCAGGTTGCTATCTGGGAAGAGATCAACGCAGACGAAACCAATAAAAGATGATGAAGGAAATTTAATTACGAAAGAAGAGAAACAAAGGAAACAATGGGCCGACCACTTCAAGAAGCTCTTGAATCAACCACCACCTGCACTTCGTCCAGAAATACCACCTACAGTCCAGCCGCTGAACTACAAGTGAACATAAATCCCCCAACAAAAGTGGAAGTCATGAACGCCATAAAGCTACTGAAATGCGGGAAAGCAGCAGGACCACACGGGATCCCACCAGAAGCACTGAAAAAAGACGCAGAGACAACAGCAGACATGCTCACACCACATCACTATTGCAGAAGGTATGGAATGAAGAGAAGGTACCTGGCGATTGATTGTAAGAAGGGTTACCTTGTCAAACTCCCGAAAAGGGAGACCTCAGTGTTTGCAAGAACTGGCGAGGAATCACTCTCCTGTTCACCCCAAGCAAAATATTAACCCGCATCATCCTGGAGAGGCTAAAGGATGCACTGGATTCAAAACTACAACCGGAACAGGCAGGCTTCAGGAAGTACAAATCATGTGCAGACCAAATTGCAACGCTACGCCACGCATCATCATGGAAGAGAGAATAGAATGGCAGTCAACTCTCTACCTCAACTTCATCGACTTTGAAAAGGCCTTCGACAGCGTCAAATGAGAAGTAATTTGGAAACTGCTTCAACACTACAGAATACAACAAACCTTTATCAGCCTCATTCGACAACTATATAAAGACGCCACATGCCAAGTAATTCACAATCGGTAGCTCAGTGATGCCTTTGAAGTGAAGGCGGGAGTAAAACAAGACTGCCTACTATCACCCATGATATTCCTGATTGTGGTCGACTGGATCACGCAGCAAACTGTGAGGAGAGAGAAGAGGGTGATACACTGGTCCGAGGAAAAGATCCTAGAAGGTTTGGATTTCGCCAACGATGACTTGTGTCTGATGTCACACAACCTTGAAGATCTACAGGCGAAAACTAACAAGTTGACAGAAGAGGCAGCAAAGACGGGACTTCAAGTGAATATAGAGAAGACAGAGGTGATGAAGATACCCAACCAACAACTCCAACAACAACAAAAAACTCCAATCACCATCAACCGGAGAAACTTAAAGGAAGTAGCCTCGCCCACCTATCTAGGCAGCACCGTCCCAACTACAGGCGGCACAAGCACAGACGAGGATGTCAAAGTCAACCAGGATCGGAAAAGCAAGACAGGCGTTCATTAGCCTGAAACCAGTGTGAAGATCTTCCCCACTCACCACAAAGCGTGAACAACATCCGGATTTTCAACACCAGCGTCAAATCAGTTCTTCTGTATGGTTCAGAGACTTGGCGTGTTACGAAAGGCATTTCCAACAAACTACAGACATTCATCAACAACTGCCACCTACGCTGGCTCGTTACTGAAGCTCAGATGGCCAGAATAATAAGAATAAGCAATAAGGAACTCTAGCTGGCAACGAACCAACGAAGAAGCTATCACCCAACAAATATGCAGTGGAAGGAAGTGGAGATGGATTGAACATACACTGAGAGGGCCAACTGGGGACAACATGCGCCATGTCAGGATATCGAGTGGAACCCCGATGGGAAGAGACGAGATGGGCGTCCGAGGAGAGGGTGACATGGAGGAGATCGTGCGAGGAGGAAATGAGAGCTTCTGGGCTGTCGTGGAGCCAGGTTCAAAGGATTGCAGAGAACAGATTGGAATGGAGACGTGCTACTGAAACCCTATGTTCCATTAGGAACCCAAGGGACTAATTAGAATATATATATATATATATATATATATATATATATATATATATATATAAGCTTATTATTCACTTTTTTATACAAACACAGTCGATAGCTTTCCCGGACAAAATGACATTTTTTTAACATTGGCATAGAGCCCAACCCATATCACTTCACTACAAAGCAGTTGAGGAGACAGAGCTAGTATGGATCAAAGGAGATAGAAATATGAGAAATAAAAGAGGACAGTAATACCATACCTTACCACTAAGTTATCCCTCCCTTTCATATACATGTGTATAGACATTGATATCTAACAGTAAGTTGTATGTTTCTAAACTGTTAAGGCAAATCGAGATCAATAGATCAAAATCTTAGACTATTTAAAATAGTTAAATTCATATAGAATACACTTTTTGGTAATTGCACAAAAATGGCACATTTAATTACGTGTTATGATAAAGACAGCAGTAAATCTCACTACACTAATGTCACCTTATAAATAAGTTTCATTATGGAGTAAAATCAATTGAAGAGCGGTCTTGTTCTAGCTTAAAACCTGTTTGTAGTTTACTTTTTTTCATTCTTTTCAGCAGTCTCTGCGTAACTAACCGGGTAAAACATTGAATAAACTACGAGAAATCGACTAAAATGTCAATGAAACTCCTTTGATGGTTGAGTAAAGTTTTTATCAGTGAAAACAAGTAGTAGCTTTCGATTTTCTATAGGTGTTAAACTAATATCAAAGTAAGAAAACTCATCCCCATACACATGAATATATTGACAGTTTATAAACTGGAAACAATTCAGCACTGAATAATTAAGAATATGAAGTTAGCCAAAGTAAAAGATAACAAGAAATATATTACCTTAGCAACAGAAGATACACTACTACCAGATGTTACAACATCTTCGATAATCACACAATTTTGTCCATTTTTCCAAACTCCTTCAATCATTTGTTTAGTTCCATAAGATTTAGCTTCCTTTCGGCACATCACCATTGAGATATTTTCTCTAACGGAGATACACTAATAATAAATCAATAAACATGACAATATTCATACATGTCATAAATATCTTACTATTAAGTGTATACAAAAATCTTCGACATCATATAATCCAGTCAATGGCTACAAATGAAGCTTATTAGAAATGGTTTCCATCATATCCCAGTCATTTTGTGTAATATGAATCAGTCACTTCTGTAGTTGAATCCATCATTTTTCAATAATGATTGAAGATACTTCTGGTGTCACAGTTAGAGATATTTCTTGCAGAACAAGATGTTTGCAGACAAACCATATGATCCTGACTAAGGGGTTCCATTGAATTTAATTTATGTGTTTACATTAATCAAGGTATTTCCACAAATAAAACAAATCACACATCTAATATTCCTTAATCACTAATCCTCGTTATATGGTATCCATTGGTGGTGAATGTCAACTTTAAATTTTGTAAAGTCTAATCTGTACAACGAAAAATGAAGTAAAATAAGCGCAATAAAATGAAAGAAAAAGAGAGAACGAGCCAAATGTAGTTAATGAATGTTTAAACAGCACAATGAGATAACAAAGATTATCTGAAAAATATGATATATTAGAGCTATACATTTCAAACAATCTAACTGATCACAATATGGACTTGTTGAACTATGTATATGAAAATTTATGAAAAGGATCAGTTAAGTCAATAGGAAATATGATAAAAAACTAAATCTTAATCATATCACTGTTGGCATGAAAATTATAGTCAATACTACCAAGGTCAGTTCAACGTGATTACTAATTATTACTGTTTGTTGATATACTTGTATTTCTGCATTGTTATACTGGGTAGAATTGATCGACCTCTGTTGGCATATGAACTCCTATGAGGATGTTTTGATATTGTCTGAATACATATATTATTATTATTATTATTTACTTGGTTGTGGCCAGTAGAAGAATCCAGGACGTACATTTCGTCCTATTTAGGACTCGTCAGTTGTCCCTAACCACTTGTCATGACTAATTTCTAGTATCCGTTTGGCAATAAATCAAGATGGACTTTTGTCATCTGAACTTATCAGCTCTGTCGAGGTCATTCGTTTTTGCAGCCACTTAGGTACATGTTCAACCATTCTTAACTGAACATCATGATTATTCTTCCCTAGATATGTGTAATCACACATACATGCACACTGAAAAACAGTGGAATGTGATGCAATCGTTTATGTGTTGTTTTGCTTTTTGTTGTAACATGGATTTTACCTTCTCTACAATGATGACTTTATAGTAATAATGGATACTGGTTAACAGTGGAATCCAGGATGGGCATTTAATCCTACTTGGGACTCATGAGTTGGATGTACCTGCCTTTCAGTGAGTGATATTGTTCCCGCCGGGATTCTTACTCGAAAGCGGTCGCTTCAAACGCCAAAGCATTATCCACTACACCACTGAGCCACGATAGCCACTTCTTGTGCGACGGGTACAGTTTTAGTATAACTGTCTGTATTATACATCTAGCTGACGAGTCCCAAACAGGACGAAATGCGCATCCTGGATTCCTCTAATAGTCACTTTCCATCATTACTATAATTAGAACACAGGTAATATCGAGGCGTCCGCGCAGGAGTACATATGCCAATAGAGACCGGTCAATTCGGTCCAATCAACGATGGTATAATACAAGCAGTTATATAATGATGACTTTGGCTACAAAAACAATTTGTACTCACGTTGCACCTACCTTGGTAGTATTGACTATAATTTTCATCCTAACAATGACGTGAATTTGATTTTGTTTTTTCTCTGCCCTCTCTTCATATTCTCATGTTTCCTATTGACTTAGTTGACCCTTTTCATAAATGACCATAGATATTGTTCGACAAGTGATCAGATTGCTGGAAGTATAGAGAGCTAATACATCACATTTTTAGATAATGTTTGTCTTCGCATTACGCTGTTTGAATTTATCAAAAGGACTAATCCCTTTGATGGGTGTTTGTTACCATCCTCTACTAATACTATTAACCCCTAAATAGTAGGTGTGATCTACCGTTCAGGTAATGGATTTGTTTACATTAAATAAACGAAACAGTTACCGTTTAATAATTGATTCGTTGACTGATAGCAAAAGATCGTACAACTTACTGCTGCTATGGGAAGAGCCGAATACGGTACACCACAAATGAGATCTATAGGTTTATTGACTTCGCCATGTAATAGAGTGATAAGAGCTTGAGCTATTTCATCCTAAATGTCAAGAAAAAACGCAGACATATACACCTAATGTTTAACACAGTATAGCGCTGCTTGATACATTAAACAAACGTTGAAATAATGGTAATGGTTTGTGCCCCAAAATTAGGATATTTCGAAGTAGACATTTCATCATCAAACTTGATGACATCATAATCACTGACTTCATTAAGAAGCCTGGCGATGAAAAGTCCACGATAAAATATCAAAGCTCACTGAATGCACTAAACCATTGTCAATATGGATGATTCATTTTGTGTAACAGTGTTCACATGAAACATTATACCTGAACTCAACTTATAATTGTCTTGATGAACCTGGGTTATGAAACAATAATGTAATGTATAAAAGTGGTCAGTATAAAAAGATACGTAAGGATTTTTGTTTTGGGGGCGGGTGAGGGGCGACAAAGTAAGACCCATACAAGCAAAAACAAAGAAAATAAAAGCAATATAACTCGGAAAATATATAAACAAGTCTATGAGACAAAGTTATATGCCACCCAATATCTCTAGTAGCTGACTCCCAACAACTAGGTAGCTGAAACAGGTTCGAACCCGTGACCTTTTACTTCCAAAGTTGAATGCCTAAAACAGAGTCACTGTTACATGGCAAGTTATGTTACTGAATTATAATTTTATTGAAAGAAGTATCAATAAATATAAACAGTGTTCAACTACCTTGGTAATTAATTATTACTAACAGAGTCACCGGTTCGTAACCTACCTAACCATCCAATCGTTTGCTCAGATATAAGAATGGCTTATGATGCATTACATACTACTTGTAAGAAATTCGTTTATTGAAATCTGGTTGGTGGCTAGCAGTGGAATCCAGTATACATGTTTCGTTTTATTTTGGACTCAGTCGAATGTACCTCCACTCCAGTGAGGGATGTTGTTACTCCAGAGACTCGAATCCAGTAACCATCGCTTCAAACTCCAAGGTGTTATGCACTAGGCCACTGAGCACGACAGCTCTTGTACAACGGGTACCGGATATTATTTGATACCTTTACTTCCAAAAGAGGCGAGGATCGTGACTCAGTGGCCCTGTAGCAAACGTTTTGGCGCTTGAAGCGATGAGTACTGGGTCCGAGTCTCAGTAGTAACAACATCACTCGTTGGGATGGAGGTACATCCAGCTGACGAGCCTCAAATAGGATGAAACGCCTGTCCTGGATTCCACTACTAGCTGCCACCAAACAGATTACAGCATAATGAGTAGTTAGGCAATATCGAGGCATCTGCATAGGAGCCCATCTTCAAACAGAGACCAGGCAATTCGACCCAGTATAGCAACGAAGATTACAAATATCAAGCAACTTCGTTGATTATTTAATGACTAGCAAGTATAAACAAAATCACCAATTCCCGAAATAATGGAATTCTAACAATGTTTCAGGTATATTTCCGCACTAGTATCAAATTTAACAAGAATCCATTATTTGAAAACACTATACTCGAACATCGAGCTTTTATTTCAGCATGATGGCAACGAAACTCAGGCCTCGTAACATTTACAACCTTAAGATAGCATTACCTTACTAAGCCAAGTGCACAGGTCAAAGAAGTCGACCAAAGTCAATTAGGTTATCCGAGCACAAAAACCTACTCAGGTCAAAACTGCTAGGTCCTAGTGAGGTAAGACATTTAGAAAAAAGCTCAGTCAAAGTTATACATACAATTAAAAACAACCAAACAATCGGATAGCATAGGGTGAAAATCCTTGAAACAAGGATAGCAGAGTGGAGGGAGAGATTGATAACTGAATCATTGTTTATCGAATCAATACCTAGTACATGCAACAGGAATGACTCACTACATGTTCCGGATATATGAAAAATCTTACTATCCATTTCACAAAGACAGCGAGGAAATCAGGACCATATAAAGGATATATCAAAGTTGTGTAGTTATCTTGATATGACTGTGGACAATAAATTTTGACTCAAACGTAATCCAGTAAACAGTACCGTTACACTGTGTGATAAATCTAGTAACAAAAAGGGTTACGTAATGTTAAGATCGTTTATAAGGTGCATATAGATTAAAAAGGGTGAGAACATTAATCAACAATCAAAGGATTAGGAAATATCACAGTCGTAAATCAGCACCTTAAAGAGACAGCTCTAATACTCAGGGGTTTCCAAGAACATGGCAAAACACCATCATATCACAAAATCAACAGGAAATCGAAGAGTGAACAAAATAATAATAATATCAATAGTCGCAAGGAAAAAGGAGGTAAAGAAGACAAGGTAAGATAAGAAGTAAATGAAAAAGGATAAAAACGTTACAGCTTTAGAGGAGGAAGAATCGTAGAGCCCACCTAAAACATTATAGTGGAAATAAAAAATGATTTCAAACAGCAAAAATACGACTTACCATAAACTTTGGAGAAGAAATGAGAACTCGCAAATCGACATAGATTGGTGAAATGACACCTGATTTAAGTTTATACTCTCCAAATTTCACAACACCCATATCGTAAAAATTTAGAGCAATCTGACATTTTCCAACAGTCATCATTTCTATGATAGAAAAAAAAGAATGAAGAACAAATAGTAACCACATAACTGCAATGTCAATGATTATTATTACTACGGAATGTGAATACGAAAGTTAGATATTGGAAGTTGACTGTCAAGAAACCCGGTTCTACCTAGTTTTCAACCTTCAAGAAACTTCTACACTGTCTTGGATATTCATGCCTGCGTCACGTTCAGCGGTTCAGACATTCAACAGCCCAAACAACATTTGACCACTTCTGGGACTAGGAGAGTATGGAAACAACCTTAAGCATCATCTAAACACTACCGTATATAGTATGCAGGAACTTCGAATACCGAAAAATGAAGCAAGTAATATGTCTATATTTTTGGAAATAGAAACAGTTACCAAGGTATCATTCTATACAGTATAACCGTTGGTTTCAAGGTTTGATGGCTTACGGTATAAGTATACTGGAGTAACTAATACTGATAAGTGTTTCAACCAGAAAACAGTAAAAGATGGATAATCTATAAACATATCGAATGCTTAGATAACCTTACGAATGAAACCCTAGTAACCATGGTTTCATGAAAAATGTAATGCTTCATTAGAATGAGAAATAACAGAAGATATAAACACCGCCGACATCTGGTACATTTTTCCGATCAATAGGTGGTCATTGGTTTAAAAAGTGAAACAACATTAAAGTATTGTGAACGACTTTTGAAAGGTTAATATAACGTGATGTAAAATCACGTCATTCTGAAACATCCACCATACGTCAAGAAACATCTGGTTCATCAGCATGTGATTTCTGAGTCATTATCCTTACTCAATCTTTTAAAACGTAGGACAGTTTCATCATCTAAAATCAAGTTGAAAACACCAGTACACTATGGTTTAGTATACTCTTTGAGCGAGTGATTCATAGATTGTGCCTTAAAGATACCATGATAGCAAAACTAGGCAAAACACTAGTACTTTGTTACATACCACAGGTAATAAAACATGGGTACCAAAATATGTGAGACTAAAACCTCAGTAATACCAGTTAACGTCTCGGTAACATCTCAGTTACGGTAACGTCTCGGTTACATCACTGACTTTTGAATTCATGTTTCAACTCAAGAGTATTATGCTACTTTACACAAGCTCTTTTTCTGAAATGATAATCATCGCTACACCACAAACTAAGTGAAGTCGATACCACGATACCACTTCACTACATGGCATAAGTAAAAATAAACTATAGAAAGCAACAAGTAAATATAATTCGTTGACTGATAAAGAAGTACTCCAGTAAAGACTATGAAAGTATTGCAATTTGTGTTACCTTGCAACTTTTCACTGATCTATCTAACATTCTATGTCACTGTAGACAGATTTTAGTAAATCTATCGAAACAACCCGTAATTCAAGAAAGTATGTAGCGTCATTTGCGAGTTGAACTAGTTGTGCAATGCTGAACTATATCAATTAGTTATATGAAATGTAATAAACTGAAATATTCTTAAAGCATAGTCCTATAAAACAGAGTTAAGTGCACGAAAAAATAATGTCTAGGTAAACATTAACCTATAAACAACACTATGAGCTATGTTAGTTGTGCATTGACTAAGAAGGTGAATAAAGACTAACATGTAACTCGAATATTTAGCATAGAGTTCATTGATGCTACGATGTTCACCAGGTTGAGAGGTTGGGTAAAGGTTTCACTCCCGAACCAGAAAGTATCTTTAGGACTACCTATACAAAGTGGAAAAGCTGACAGATTTCTCACCATTTTCATGACATTATGTCTTTGAAGTGGATTCGCCATTCCTGAGTTATTTATAAATTTTTGTCATCAAGCTAGATGTCCTAATCAATCTCAACAGCTTTCATTCTCATCCTAGTCTCAAGTATTTCCCATTATGATAACTGTGTTCAGTTTCGCACACCAGTTATGTAAAGTTAAATAATGCTAACCAGTTGATCAGACTAAATCAAGTTTAAACTTCAGACTGAAAAGATGAGAATCGAAAAATGAACAGCGGAGCACAGACGACATGCAATTCAAGTGACTATAATCAGATCACCAATAAAAATTGAGTTCAGACTACCGAAATCAAACCAATCAGAAGAAAACACAAAATTATGAATAATTTCACTTTATTTACAAAATGATTTTCTTCAAAAATAACGCTTAGAAAGAAAATAAAACAAGGAGAGTAATCTTTAGCGTTTTATTTACAAAAATTAAAGAATAGGATATGAACAAATCAGGGGATAAAAAATAAATTAAAAAAGATGAAATTAGAAAATAACCAGATTATTTACAAAGTGTACACAGTTCCGTTTAGGGAAAACTAACCATCCGAATATCTCTATACACACAAAACACATAATTGTTAACTTAGAAAACATTCGAATTTGAAGGATTTTCTAATCCTGACTCAAAGTCATACAATTCTTCAACTAACTCAGGTCTAAGTGTGGTATCATTGTGCATCAACTCTAAGACAGGTTCTGACTCTACTTGCTGATGATATTGTTGAATCCATCGAGATAGATTTGCTATTAAACAAAAATAATCTGGTAAACAATCTGTATATGATTGAAAGCTTTGATCACCATGTCGCCAAAGTAGTCCAATCAAAGCACGTGTTAATTGTCCAAAGGCAATTAAACAGATTTTCTGTTTGACCATTAATTGAATCGTTAGTGATGACATGTGTTGTTGATGATAATGACAGAATGGATCAGACAAAAAACTGGTAGGTGTTGTCAAAAGAATTTGCAAAGGATCTGCTGCTAAATGAACTAGTGTTGAATAAACCTATCAAAATAATTCGTAAAATAATTTTTTAAAAAAATGAAATCAGAATTCACATATACATACATATATCTTTAAATATGAAATATTTTTAACAGGTTGTTGTAGAGTTAACGTGTGTAGAAAAACTAGCATTGGAGTCTCTATACTGATAAGATGATCATCTCGTAGTGGAGAGAAGAAATTATCAAAACTCTTCTTGTTGACTTAGGCAGTACGAAAACCTTCACCGAGGTGTAGAACGAACCGAAATTGATTCAACAACACTGTTTCACATTCGTGTAGTAGGCATGAACCATACCTAATATATGAAGTCTAGTGATACTACCTGATTACTTAAATCTTGGTAAGTCATGCGGTGTTCAGACTAGTGTTTAAAAGACAAGTGTCTAAACCAACTACTCATAGCTCCACTACAAAGGTGGAAAGTAGAAGTTATACTCAATATACGCTTTTAGTTCACAAAGAAGAAATTCAACTTAAAATGAGATGTTACTAAAACCAAGCTACAGTCAGACCTTGAAGTTATCATCAACAAACAGTCGGACTCGAGGATTAGGCCTTCGTGTTTAGTGTGATATCAAGATCACCCCAACCAGAAGTTCGCCTTCCATCCTAATCTTATTTCAGTTAACTATAGAACACTGATATAATGAATGAACATGCATGACTGAGGAAGGTCTAATCAGTAATCTCATTATCGCAAGCCTTTAAGAATGTTTAGATAATTGCATATTAGCAGCGCTCACATTTCTTCCATTCTAAACATCAGTGTTTCACATCCACATGCTAGAATGCTGGCCTCCTAGCACTTAATTTATCTTTATCGTATTGAATACATTATAGAGGGAGTTACTTGTCAAGTTTTCAGCTAACGTTCTATCTATACGCTGAATTTGGGGTGACTTTAAAGTCCATCCTAGAAACAATGAAGTGACCAATCAAACTTCTCTGTTTTGTGAAAACCTGCCTCTCCAGCCGGAATACTTTAAGTTGATTGGCTATTTCATCAGTTGTCGTGGGGTCTTTGAAGTTTACCTTAAAGCAGATCCGATGTTTGACCTATTATCCACGCATGAGCATTGGGTGACTTTAAGGTCACCCTACAACTACCAATTAGGCTTCTTCATTTTAACTAGGAAGTCAGATTTTCATAAAATAAAGAAGTTTGATTGGTTCCGTCAGCTGTTGCTAGGGTGGCCGTAAAGTCACTCGATAATGTCAAAAAATAAGGAAACAATCTTTAAAAGATAGAAGTGATCTACTATGGCATAAAAAGCACAGAAATGGTTAATTACAGTTTATTAAAATGTGACAAGCCTTTAGGGCAAGTATTAGGGACTTACTACACAAACGCAAATCTCACTGAGATCTAGTTCACGCCGCTGTTTATTTTGGCAATGAGGCTTGCTAAGAGCGTGTTAATTGTTTTACTGAGCAACTTTATAGGCCACCCTAGCAACTGCTGAGATGACCAATAAGGCTTCTATATTTTATGAAAAATTACCACTCTAATAGGAATACCGAAAAAGCATTGGTTATTACAGTAGTTGCGGGGTGGCCTTTAAAGTCGCCCTCAAGATACCCGTGTTCTGACTTAACTTGTGTCGGAAGCTAAAAAAATAAGTTTATCAATAAAACCTGATCTTCTTTGCCTTCACTTAAAGTTTTGCAAGTGTTAGTATCGGAAAGACTGAGTCACACATATTATGTCATCTAGCACCACGGCACGTTTTGGATACGTGACAAAACGTATGAGTTTGATAGATATGAATAATAAGAGTGCTTAAAAGATAGCATCCTGTAGACCCCTCTGCACAGCAGGAACATACCAACTGACTGGTCAAAGAAAGAGGGTACTTCTAGAAGCAAATGTATGATAATTTTAAATAAAATTGAGACAGAATGTAGAGCAGTTTTAAAGGTCACTCTAACAACTGCTGAAATAACCAATTACTTTTCTTCATTTTATAAAAAAGACTACCTGCCTAGATATTGAAATGTGATTGGTTATTTCAGGGGTTGCCAGGGTGGCCTTTAAAATCACTTAGAACTTATTCCTGATAAACCCTGATAGACAATGCTGCTACCTAGGCACATCCCTCGTGATTATTACCGATACAACTGCGAGAGTTAAGATGAAGAACCATTAGTAGTATGATACATTTGTTAGAAAACCTTCCTAGTGAGAAATACTGTCACAAGATCAAAAGACCTACACATCAAGCAAGAAATATGGTAAACTAGGTGTCGTTAGGTATGGCATAACTTGTTAGAAAAATTATGAAGAGTTAAGATTTGAATGACGTGCTACTGAATTGACGCGAAACTTACATTAGTTCGTCGTGTAAGCTATTCCCTAAACAGATACGGAATCACCATGGATGTCAGGAGCTATATTGGTAACAACAGAGTGATTTCTTTGAATATATATATATATATATATATATATATATATATATATATATATATATATATATATATATATATATATATATATATATATATATATACAGTGATGTAGGGATGCATTAAAAATAGCATAAATCAGTATTCCCACCGGTACAATCTATAACCCATGTGTGAAATTTAATACGGAATGATAATCTATGCACTCACTTGAGCCTTACAGCAACAATTATCTGGCCAAACTACGTCGTCACGTTGAGTAAGCACAGCAATAAATCCAGAAAACTGGAAAAGAGTACAGTAAAAAATAATAACAATGTGATCAAGCAAATGTTGAAAAACTCAATAACTTCTTTACTAAGTGTTACACAGAAATGTACGATAGATTTACGTATTCATTAGTTGACTGGAAAGTATAAAAGATCAAGAATCAACGCACAAACAACCACTCAGTAAATACAGACACTGGGAAATTAGTCAACTGACTTTGATTATTATAAGTAAAGAGGAAGCATAGCAACATCTCAGTTAAAGAGGATGGATAGGTAGTATTCGCATCCCATCGTGAAAATGAATCACTGTCTTCTGAACTTCCTTTTGACATAATACGTTTCTCCGTCTAGAACCACTACCAACTAAATGTCAACTTTAACTTGTTTTCTCAGTCATATTTATCCCATATTACATTCACGCAATCATATGTACATACAACCGAATCACTAGGCGAAGTAGATAAAACAGGATTCACGCTAGGAATACACTGCTTTACAATTGAAAGATTAAGTTAATGAGCCACATTTCCACTCTACTCTGTAGGGTTCTTTTTATGGTCAAAAGTAATCAAAATACAGTCACAGTGTTACTACTCACTTAAACCTAACCATCTTGAATTAACTACTGTCTGTTCAATGTCATCATTATACAAATAAGAAGGAAGTATTGCGCTAAAAACCTCGCCTGGTTAACTAGTTTACTAGTTACTAGCCGGTCCTAAGCCCGGGTAAAGAGGGAAGGTTGGGCATAGGGCTAGCAACCCTACCCCGTAAAACAAATCTAACCGCTAAAGAAACTTCAAAGCACAAACAAAATATAAAAAATGAAAACAAACTTATTCCCCGCTGGAATCGGAGAGGCGAAATGACGCCAGTTGGTGAAAGCCTTCGGGAAGCCAATTGGCCGATGTGTCTTCTCTCGATGAAAGCGAAAGTAAACGTGGGGACATGGAATGTCCGCACGATGTTTGAACCCAGTAAGGCAGCCCAGATTGCAAAGGAGATGAGAAGGTATAACATCGAAGTGCTTGGGATTTGCGAAAGCAGATGGAATGGGAGTGGACTCTCCAAACTGTCAACTGGAGAATCAATAATCTACTCCGGTCACCCAGACGCCAACCACGAGCACACTGAGGGAGTGGCTATCATGATGTCCTCAAGAGCATCGAAGGCTCTCATGCAGTGGGAACCAATCTCCTCCAGGATCATGACAGCAAGATTCAACTCAAAAGGAAGAAAGGTCACAATCATACAATGTTATGCACCTACAAATAATGCAGAGCAAGAGAAAAAGGAGGATTTCTACAGACAACTTCAATCAACACTGGACAAGACGTCAGTTGGCGATATCAAAATTCTAATGGGCGACATGAATGCCAAACTGGGAGGGGACAACACGGGAAGAGAACTAACCATGGGTCGAGAGGCACTAGGTGAAATGAATGAGAATGGAGAATTGTTTGCAGAATTCTGTGCATTCAACGATTTGGTGATTGGAGGCAGTGTGTTCAGGCACAAGATATCCACAAAGCGACATGGATTTCACCAGATGGACACACTAAAAATCAAATCGACTTTATCTCAATCTCAAGAAAATGGAGACGCAGTCTACTTAACACAAGGTCAAGAAGAGGAGCAGATGTAGGTTCAGACCACTACTCTAGTGCAAGGAACCTTCCAAATCAAGTTAAAAGCCTTCAAGGAAGCTGGTGATAGACCTCAATTCAAGTACAACACTCGGAAACTGAAGGATGAAACTACAAAGGAGATCTTCAAGGCAGCCATCAAGACAAAATGGGAGACATCGAGGGACATCCCTGAAGAAACCTGTGTGGAAGAACACTGGAAGTCTTTGAAAGCTATGTGGAAAGAAACCTGCACAACAGTATTAGGAAGGAAGAAGAAAGAAGACAAGGAATGGATCTCGACGGATACCTGGAAGCTGATAGAGGAGAGGAGGATGGTGAAGCAGAAGATAAACCAGTGCAAGGATGCTCAACGACAAGAGGAACTGAGCACAATGTATAAAACACTGGACAAAGAAGTGAAGAAGAGTGCACGCAAAGACAAAAGACACTTCTACGAAACACTGGCAAGTGAAGCAGAACAGGCTGCAGGTAAGAGAGACCTGACGACATTGTATCAAATAACCAGGTTGCTATCAGGGAAGAGACCAACACAGATGAAACCAATAAAAGATGAAGAAGGAAATTTAATTACAAAAGAAGAGAAACAGAGGAAACGATGGGCCGACCACTTCAAGAAGCTCTTGAATCGACCACCACCTGCACTTCGTCCAGAAATACCACCTGCAGCCGCTGAACTACAAGTGAACATTAATCCCCCAACGAAAATGGAAGTCCTGAACGCCATAAAGCTACTGAAATGCGGGAAAGCAGCAGGACCAGATGGAATACCGCCAGAAGCACTGAGAACAGATGCAGAGACAACAGCGGACATGCTCACACCACTATTGCAGAAGGTGTGGAAGGAAGAGAAGGTACCTGACGATTGGAAGAAGGGTTACCTTGTCAAACTGCCGAAGAAGGGAGACCTCAGTGCTTGCAAGAACTGGCGCGGAATCACTCTCCTGTCCACCCCAAGTAAAATATTAAGCCGCATCATCCTGGAGAGGCTAAGGATGCACTGGATTCAAAACTACGACCGGAACAGGCAGGCTTCAGGAAGTACAAATCATGTGCAGACCAAATTGCAACGCTTCGTATCATCATAGAACAGAGCATAGAATGGCAATCACCTCTCCACCTCAACTTCATCGACTTTGAGAAGGCCTTTGACAGCGTCGACCGAGAAGTAATTTGGAAACTGCTTCAATACTACGGAGTACCGCAAACCTTTATCCGCCTCATTCAACAACTATATGAAGATGCCACATGCCAAGTAATCCACAATGGGAAGCTCAGTGATGCCTTTGAAGTGAAGACAGGAGTGAAACAAGGTTGCCTACTATCCCCCATGATATTCTTGATTGTGGTGGACTGGATCATGCAGCAAACAGTAGGCAGCGAGAAGAGGGGGATACACTGGACGACGGAAAAGAACCTAGAAGACTTGGATTTCGCCGATGACTTATGCCTAATGTCACATAAACTTGAAGATCTGCAGGCAAAAACTAACAAGTTGATAGAAGAGGCAGCGAAGACGGGACTTCAGGTGAATATAGAGAAGACAGAAGTGATGAAGATACCGCACCACCACCATCAACAACAACAACAACAAACTCCAATCACCGTCAACGGGAGAAACTTAAGGAAGTAACCTCCTTCACTTATCTAGGAAGCACTGTTTCAACTACAGGCGGGACGGACGAGGACGTCAAAGTCAGAATCGGAAAAGCAAGACAGGCGTTCATTAGCCTGAAACCAGTGTGGAGATCTTCTGCACTCAGCATGCGGAACAAGATACGGATTTTCAACACCAACGTCAAGTCAGTGCTTCTGTATGGTTCAGAGACGCGTCACGAAAGGTATTTCCAATAAACTACAGACATTCATCAACAACTGCTTACGCTCGCTGCTGAAGATCAGATGGCCAGAAAAAATAAGCAACAAGGAACTCTGGGAACGAACCAACCAAGAACCTATCACGCAACAAATATGCAGAAGAAGTGGAGATGGATTGGCCATGCACTGAGAAGGCCGACGGAGGACATCACGCGTCAGGCCCTCGAGTGGAATCCCCATGGGAAGCGACGAGTTGGACGTCCGAGGGTGACATGGAGGAGGTCGTGCGAGCAGGAAATGAGAGCTTCTGGGCTGTCGTGGAACCAGGTTCAAAAGATCTCAGAGAACAGAGGTCACTGGAGGCGTGCTACTGAAGCCCTATGTTCCACTAGGAACCCAAAGGACTAATAATAATAATAATAATTGCGCTAAAAAATAATGCACATTTGAAACAGTTAGTCTCCTTTATAAATTTCGACAAAAACAACAAGACGTAAATAAATTGAAACGTGTGATACATTAGCATAACACATTTCCAAAAATCCGATTACACGCACTAACTTGCCATTTATATTTATATGGAAAATACAACAAAAGGTAAATAGTTTAGTAATGATGGGCAGTGGCTAGCAGTGAAATCCGGGATGCGCATCATTATTAAACATAGTTAAAAGACAGGCTGTATCGAGGCATCCGCATAGGAGCCCATATGCCAACAGAGGCTGATCAATTCGGTCCTATCAACGACGGTGTAATACAAGCAATAACACTAAAAGGTAAATAGTTGTTGAAAATAACCGATTGAATAAAGGGTCAACTTGTTAATTTGTGGTATGTAAATCACCCTTGATATTAAAGCTGAGTTACTAAGGTTGGTTTGATGTAACAGCGAATTGCTTTTGAAGACGTAAAAGAGGTCTAAACTTTCTTATAGCTAGAGCTTCAAGAAACCTTGAGATATGATTCCAAAAGGTTTTGTGAATAGATTTGAAAAATACGTAAAAATGGACCTTGTGACCCTTGTTTCAATACGTTTAGAGATAGATTAAGTTGGACATATGATGTCTGAGTTGTTGCTGAAATACCATCAGAGTAAAAACAAATGAGAAATAACTAACTGGTTAAGGGAAGACTACAAAATGACACTAGTCCATTTGGGGAAAGAAAACGGAAATGTGAACTTACTTCAGCTAGGAGTTCAATCTTTTGCATTTCCAATGAATGATATAGTTCAGTATAATTATGTGATGAAGAGTCTAGTACTATTGTAGACTGATTAAGCTGATCAGAAAACTGGCAAATCCATACACATAATGCAAGTAGTCGACATCGAATAGATGCACCAAATAGTCTTTCAATATACTGTTCACGGATATCTGAAAGTAAAACAACGTTTATTACAGTTTACTAAGAGTCCATAAGTCTATTTATAATTCAATAAGACATGTTGTATGTGGAGAAGAAGAAAAAAAAATCACCTTTAGACAATTTTATATATTTTTGTCATACAGTAAAATGGAGGTATTATTGTATAGTTTAGAAATGCTCAACTCTATAACCTCATACAGATTGAGCATTAGGTACCAACCACAATATACTTACTCAGAAGATGTAAGTCATATCTAGTAGTCGGTCATTTAAACTCGATTGAATAAAGAAAATGTAGACGAAATGCTTTTTGATTAGTTGTTTAGTATAGCACAAAGTCAAACAAATTGTCACACTTCACAGTACCATGCAAAGAAGAAATGGATAGAAAAAGATGCATATCAAAGTAGAATAGAGTGGATCTAAGGAAGAAGAATGCGAAAATTAAGGTGAGTGAAAATATTCAAGCTTTAAAAGACTTCAAAGAGTAAAAACATCTGCACCATCACAACCAATTTTCAGCCATGTCACTAAGAATCGCTAACCACTGAAACTTATGGTCTCGGAGGCCTCAGACAGGCAGGCAACCTACACCTCCCTACACCGCTTAAACTAACAAACAGGGAGAAAAAACCCCATATTGGGAAAGGGAAGTAACTAAAATTAAACAAATCAATTGAATTATAATATGATAAAAACTTTCGAAACTTCTGATTCAAATCGAAAAGATACATGATTAGGACACATTGTTCAGTGGAAAAGAATCCTTTCCAACGAGTCGTTTAAAAATACGAAATTCTCACTAAAGAATAGCGGTATTTTTGTTTGAGAGATCTAAACAGAAAGATTGTTGTTATGATTGTGGCATAAAAATATATACGTAATCGCCTAAATTATACCCCAACTACTACCTCCTATTACTTTACATGGAAATAATCGTGACCAATAGAAACAACCAAGTCGAACATGAGGGCAGTTACTCAAAGACGACATTGAATGTAGGTCGCGCTACATCGTAAACTGACAAAAGTTGAAAATATAGACCACTGGACTCCGACTCAAGGTCTCAGTGGTAACGTGCAGGTCATGGAAATTGAAGCTCCTGCAACCGATTCCCTGGCGGGGTCATCAATGCGCACTACGGAGGAGTCCCATAGTGGGACGAAACAGCTGTCCAGTGCTCCCAGGCTTCCAGTGTTCCTCTAACTGATGTCAGTCTCTGATGAATACCAACTTGAAAGCACACCTTGTCTAATGTAGTTTATGCAACCAGGTATAACTAATGAAAATAATGTAAGTCAACCAAGTACATGTTTCTAAGCTCTAGGCAAGACGTGAAATGGCTACAGGGTCCTGATCATAGTTATCTGCGTAGTACTCCATGCGTCTGGTGGAATCACAGTGTGAGCAATGCCGAAGTCAAACGAAGGATATTAAGCAAGAAAGGCAAGTCAATTGATGAAATTGTGAACATTAGTCGACTGATATGGCTTGGATATATGTACTGCCCATGCCGATCCACTGCCTACCTCTATGTACACCATGCTATGGGAAGCTACATTAGGTTGGAAGAGAGTTCACGATGGGAAGATCAAGATATGTCACCAGTCGATGAAGCCCCTGACTGTTGGTCTGAGTCGTGTGAAGAGATGTAGACTGCCTGTTTGGGGTTCCCGAGACAATAGAAGAAATCAGTAGTTGAGAACTTTTGTCGACATGGCTAGAAATCAGTCACAATGGCGGATACGTATTCACTCTTTGACGTCTTCTGAAGCTTGAATACTTGAACCTTCCCTTGTCTTCAAATTGTTTATTCTCTCACATAACTTTGTCTACTTTGATATCAGTCTTTTTCTATTCACTTCACAATGGTACTACTGTGAAGTGTCGCATCGATGCACTTGCGTGAGAGGTTCTAGTTTATTCTGTTTGTTTGTCTAGGCTATGCACCACACTTATCAGCTAATGGTTTGTGATACTGGATGGTTATCCAGGCCGAAGTAGGTAAAACAGGACTCGGTCTCACAATCCATTTTGCTTGAAAACTGAACACTAAAGTAATTGAGTCATAGCTCGAAGTAGTTGTATTATAACGCTGAAATAGAGACAGATTCACAATTTACTACTAGTTTGTTTAACACACCGAATAACAGTGAAGGAGGGGAACTAAAATGTAATCAAATAATCAGAATAAGAATTGAAACTATAACTAAATGATTGATGTCAGAGTATTTCCTAAAGAATAAGTTGAATACCGAATCAGATTTACTGCCCATCCCCAGGACACTTTAGTTGCACTTTCAGTGAATTCAATTGCTGTCGTAGTTGTAGGATTCTTTGCAAAAGATTATCACTCTTGTGTGTTAATAACGGATAAACCAGTTTTTGCTTAAATTTACTTAACAATTTCATTTTTGGTGCTAAAATACGCTTATAATTCAAAGTGACCTAATATTCAATGTTCAGGCAGTTACTTCCTTAATTGTATTCAGGCTAAGCTACATTGTAATAGAAGGAAGCGATAAAATGTAAAAACCACTGAGGGTAAGCAAGGTAAGATAATCTATAAAGTCACAGATTAAAGTGAGGAAAGCTGATAGTTTAACAAATTTTACAGTGTAATACTCTCATACCTTTTGGTAATGTTGAATCCTTATGATCAGTATCCAGCTTTTCACATCTTAAATTCCACCATGAATCAGAACAATGACCGCCATTCCAATGCTTTTGAGATATCATATTCTTCCATAGGCGAAGAAAACTAATCAATGGTTTCAAAGTTATAATAGTACGAGTTTTGATTGTATTCACAGAACTAGCATACTCAGATGATGATCCCCAAGAGATTTTTGTATCCGTTGAAACATCACTCAATGTATCATCTTGTCCAAAACAAGCTTCTGATGTTATGATGATGCAATTTAAAAGCTGAGGAAACCATGTAACTGAATCAGTACTAGAGAGAGAAATTTTTAAAGAGCACAACACAGAAATAGACATCAGTTAACTTGAAGCATTCATAGGTAAGTGGAATCACTAGCTTGTGCCAAAAGTCTCTAAAAATCAAGTCATATGTATCACAACTTGTGAAACAGAACAAAATTTATGCATAAAAAAGTTGAGGGGCAATAGAATATGTAAATCATAATCACTGAGACAGGAAGAAAAGCTTATACGAACTACTGAAATTACAATTATTGTACATAACTAAAGAAAAGTATATTAAAGTTAGGGTCTGAATTAGATGTATATTTAGTGATAAATTAAAGAAACTAATTGAATAACTCAATAAAAAAGCTTTTGTGGTGCAAAACGGTATAAACTCTTACTTTGTAGATGCTGAACGAAGCTAGAAATCATAGAAAACATTCATAACCAACCAACAAGTTTTAAAACATCCAAGTTATCCTTTAACGAAACGAGTGAATAAATAACTGAATAGTTACCGGAAAATCGATGACAGAAGTTTCTCAAAAACCAAAACCTGGAAAACCCAATGTCACTTACAAATATAGAAAGATAACATTGTTTTGAAGACACTTTAAGCTTTTGATTAACTTTTAGTTGCATAACCATCTTTTCTGTTTTCAAAGGTTGAGCAGTTAATGAATTAAGATATATTATGGCAAGCAGCATGAATACTTAATCTAGATCCTTCAAAGCTTAAAATTGCCTGAGAAACTTTACAATATATCATCATACATTGAACATTCACTAAAAGGAAAGTGATCATACGTATAAGTATCAAACTAGCTAACAAGGTTAAACCGATAGAATCCACTCTTCTAGAAGAGTGTAGATATTCCCAAGGTTATTGAGAACATGTATATACTGTGTCATTTTGTACATGCTTTGATCTGACGACAAAGCTTTACAGTTTTGCGAAAACCTTACCCTTAAAGGAGAAGTCTAAAGCTTATCGTTCAAGAGCGTAAATGTGTATTAACATGTCAGATTATACCAGGATTTGAGGATCTTAGTTTAAGTACATACAGTAAAATATGTCTCTGACAAGACATATTAACTTCTAAATACTACTACCTTTCTCATAATATCAACACATACGATTAGAAAATGATTCACCACCGAAATCAAGTACACTCTTATGCACAACTTTCCTTCAACTCAACTATTAACCTGCTAACAGGTTACTGTTATATATTTTAGGTTGAAATTCATCATGGACTGACATCAGTTGGGGGCAATGGAAACCTGGAAGCACTGGAAAGCTGTTTCGCCCCATTGTGAGACTCCTCAGTAGTGCGCACCCATGACCCCGCCAGGGGTGGAACCCAAGACCCTCAAGTTCTGTGGCCAGCACTTTACCACTGCGCCACTGGGTTGGAATCCAATGGTCCATATTTCCAGCTTCTGTTAGTTCACGATATAGCACAACTGAAGTTCCAATGAGAATTAGTAACTAGTGGACTCAGTCAAGTCGAACATGAGGGCAGTTACTCAACGACAACATTAGACGTAGGTCGCGCTGTATGGTGAACCAACGGAAGTAGGAAATGTGAACCATTGGATTCCGACCCAGTGGTTCAGTGGTAATGTGCGGGCCATGGGTCATAGGTGCGCACTGCTGAGTCACATAGTGGAACGAAACAGCTGTCCAGTGCCCCCAGGTTTACAATGTTCCTTCCAACTGATATCAGCTTATAATGAATCCCAACTTAAAATCAGTTAATAAATCTCCACAAACCTCGAGACAGAATGTAACATATATTTAACACCAATATGAATCGATTCAGAAAATTCCACCAGATTTTTACTTACCAAGTATTTTGTTTACCAACTGCTCCACAAACTTGATCGACGGCATTCTCTAATGAATGATTGTCAGTTTGAATGAAGATTGCAAATAATGCTGCTAGATTTAGACAGCTTGTTATAAGTGGTAAAATTATGGATAGTGAAGGGAAAACCTTTTGCTTTGATGTATACTGGGATTGTTGATAAGGTGTACATTCAACTGAACATGATAGCAATGTAACACCATCACCAATTAGTTCATGTTGCATTCCTGCAGGATTACAAACAGTAGTCATTGGTGAGAGTAAATTTTGTTTTCCTTCATTCTGACTTGAAGATATGGAAGGGAAAAAACCACAGCTATAAAATCCAACTTGTCAATAAGAAATACATTGCGAAAAATAGGAAAGATGAGGGTGAATCAAAAATTCAGCGCTACTGTCAAATTCTACCTGAGAAGGATGAAGTAAAACTAGGCACTTTTTGATTTGATTTACACATTCTAGTTAGCTCAAATATCATCACATAGTAAACAAGATGTGAATCTTGCATAGAAGAATTCGATTTCCAGCTTTTGGAACAAACGGGGGAGCATCCACACGAACAAAATCGAATCGAAATGCACTTAGCAATTTTGTGCACATTCATGCAGTAGGCAGTAAGTCTCACCATTTGGCTTCCCAAACTTCGGTAGACGGTGCGAGGTTATAACCAGTGACCTTTTAGTTGAACGTTTCACTAGTAAAAGTTCACACTCAAGCATTACCACTACTTTTAAGACGTTGGTTATACGTAACAGTAAAAAACCATGTTTAAGATGTAAAGTTCTATGTAAGTGAAATAAGTCATTAGGTAGTGCTAAACTCTTTTACTTGAAAGTGATACTAAATGCTATATAACTATGAGCAATGAATTCTGCTGAAAATTTCATCTAGTAAATAATACTGTAGCACTGTGTGCTATACCAAATAAACAAACTACTGTGGAATAATACTTCACAACAGTGCCCAAGTTTCACTTTTGCATGATCAAAAAGTTCCTGATTCTCGGTAAAATTACGGCATCTGGGTTGTATGTTAGAGAAATGACAAACATTAACAAAGTAGGATCTGGCATAAATGCCCATCATTCCAAGTAGCGACACTTTACATCAGTATATCGAGATAACAACTTACAAGAGAACAGTTACAAGAATGGAAATAGTACTGAAATCTATAAAAACCCGAAAGAAGAGAGAACCTGATAAAGATACAAGGGATTATGATTTAAGTGAGGAAAAGACGTGAATGCATTTGCACAAGGGTAGTTGATTTCCGGTCAAATTATCTGACTGACTGATAAAATCAATGTAGAACCTCGTATACAAGTCCATCGGTGCGACACTTCACAGTAGTACCATTGTGAAGTGAATAGAAAAAGACTGATATCAAAGTAGACAAAGTTATGTGAGAGAATAAACAATTTGAAGACAAGGGAAGGTTCAAGTATTCAAGCTTCAGAAGACGTCAAAGAGTGAATACGTATCCGCCATTGTGACTGATTTCTAGCCATGTCGACAAAAGTTCTCAACTACTGATTTCTTCTATTGTCTCGGGAACCCCAAACAGGCAGTCTACATCTCTTCACACGACTCAGACCAACAGTCAGGGGCTTCATCGACTGGTGACATGTCTTGATCTTCCCACCGTGAACTCTCTTCCAACCTAATGTAGCTTCCCATAGCATGGTGTACATAGAGGTAGGCAGTGGATCGGCATGGGCAGTACATATATCCAAGCCATATCAGTCGACTAATGTTCACAATTTCATCAATTGACTTGCCTTTCTTGCTTAATATCCTTCGTTTGACTTCGGCATTGCTCACACTGTGATTCCACCACACGCGAGCAATGTTGCGAAGATATCTATGATAAAAACTCTGCAACCGCTTCCTGTCGTCTACTTTTAGTGGTCATGTCTCACAACCGTACGACAGGACGGAACGGATTCCAGAGCAGTATACCAATCCTTTGATAAATAGTTGGATATTTCGCCGGGGCCACAGGTGACATAAGTTGGCAAATGCCAAACGGGCCCTCTGTATTCGAGCTGAGATTTATTCAGTAACCAGCCCATTAGGGCCCATGCAACTGTCCAAGTAAGTGAAGTGGTCGAAACTTTCCACCAATTCATTCCCTACCATTAAACTGGGAGTGCTTGCATCAGACCCATCCTGGAGCATCATCTCATATTTGATAAGTGCCAGCGAGACACATGCCAAACACACAGATTTCTCCTTAACGCGTTCAAAAGACCCTGCATTCTGTCAGCGTCTTCAACTAGCAGGAAAATATCATCTGCATATTCCAAGTCAACCAGATGACCTCTAGGGAGTAGCTCAATCCCTATGAAGTCAGACGTGGATAGTAGTTATGTGCATTAGTAAGTCTATAACGAAGTTAAATCAAAACGGTGACAGTGAGCATCCCTGCTGGACACCACTAGTTGTTGTCTACTCAACTGATAACTCTCTCTATGCCCTGATACGGCTGCGTGAGTAGAGAGCTTTGATAAGCGTTATATACTTGTTAGGTACTCCCTTCACAGTTAGACACTGCCACGGCTCCTTACAGTCAATAGAGTCAAATGTCGTCTTCAGGTCAATAAATACTGCAAGTATGGGTCGCCGGTAGATGTGCCTGTTTTCCAGAATCCGTCGGCGGGTCAAAATAAGATGGATACATCCTCAATCAGATCTGAAAGCTGCCTGATTCTTCGAGTTTTCTGTTCTTGAGCTCCAGTCAGGCCTAACTATGGACTCTAGGATCTCGGTTAAATAATCTAGTCTTTAGTGATAAATTTTCTTAGAAAGCTCGCTCAAACGAACATTCATGGATTGTTGACACATTTTAGTCCAGCCATTTTCGGCTTTATTCTAACCTAATCATATTCTGAGTAGCATAAGAGCATTAGAATAGATAATGACATTTGCGTATAACACATATAAGGCTATTTCAGCCAATGAAGAAACATACAATCCTATCAATGAACTTGCTTCTGATCTAACGCCTAATTACTACATCGATCACTGGATGGTTACATCATATATGAACGTTGTAACGGAGACGAATATACCAAAAAAGGTTAATCAAAAATAATGAAAGAAATGTTAGTGGACCGTTCCAGCATAAAATTGAATTCATTACTTATAAGTACGCTCAGAAACTTTTACCGTTTACACCTAAAGTTTTCCTCATAAATCTGAATTTCCAATGTCATTTCTTTACGCATTGCTGTAAAATTTGGTAAACTGTAACCTGGTATATATTACTGATAATTACTGATTAAACGATTACCTTGGCTACCAAACTAATTCTAATATGTAAGGTTAATAGTTAAAAAAGCTTTCCAGTTAGAAGTAGGATTTCATAGCTTGACTGGAAGATCATTGTGTCAGTAACTTGGTGGTTACCTTAGAAGTCATACTAAACATTGGTGTGGCAATCAAAGCTGTCTTGAACACTTTATAATCAACAATAAATCAATCGATTTCGACTACGAATTCAACTCAACTTTAATCGTGATAAGAAAACAGCTGAACAGCTAGTCTGTTGAAAAACGAACAGTCTATCTCATTCACAGAACAGCTTGAAGAAAGCACTTGGTTACTGATGTGAATTCGAGATCTCGACATTCATTCGATGGAGCACTGCAAGTCACATTTTCCTCCAACTCCTCTAATCATCACTGTCGTAATCAAAGGTCAGAGGAATAGTTTCAATAACTAATACAATTTACCAGCCATCTAAACGCTTGAGTACTGGACTATGGGGGAAGACTCAATGCCTATGAAACTATCTGAACAGGACTCGAACTTTCAGGCCACTAGTTGGCAGACCAAATGTTTAGACAGATGAGCTACAAATCCACACATTACTAGTAAGATTATTGGAATTGTACAGGACTTCAAACCGCTTCTTGAAAAATAACCTGCTTGAATTGTATACACAGATAGATGGTGCTAGTATGGTTGAAATAAATGACGTACACTGATAGATGAATAAAGAATAAAGTAAATAATTCCCATCAAAAAACATCAGTTCAATGATGTAAACGTCCAAGGCAGAAAAGTCATAAAATTGCAACCACCAACCTCGCCTAGTTTACTAGCCAGTCCTAAGCACGGATAAAGAGGGAAGGTTGGACATAAAACTAGCAATCCTACCCCTTAAAACCAATACGATCGCTAAAGAAACTTCAAAGCACAAAGAAAATATAGAAAATAAAAATAAACTTACACCTGGCTGGGATCGGAGAGACAAAACGATACCGGTTGGTAAAAGCCTTCGGGAAACCAATTGATCGGGCCGATATCTCTTCTCTTCTCTCAGTGTAAGCAAAAGTAAACATGGAGATATGGAATGTCCGCACTCTATTTGAATCTAGCTGGGAAGGCTGCTCAGATTGCAAACGAGGTGAGAAGATATGACATAGATGTGTTAGGCTAGTAGTCTGCGAAAGCAGATGGAATAGAAGTGGACTCTCCAAACTGTCAATTGGAGAGTCAATAATCTACTCCGATATTGTCACCCAAACGACAACCACGAGCACACTGAGTCTTGGAGTGGCTATCATGATGTCCCCAACAGCATCGGAAGCTCTCTCTCATTCAGTGGGAACCGACAGTAGGATGGATTCAACTCAAAAGGAAAGAAAGTTACAACCATACAATGCTACGCTACACACCTACAAAATAATGCAGATGAAGAGAAGAAGGAGGAATTCTACAGACAACTGCAATCAGTACTGGATGAGAGATGAGGCCCAACCCCAGGTGGCGACATCAAAATTCTGATGGGTGGGGTGACATGAGTGACAAAATGGGAGCAGACAACACACAGGAACAGAACTCACCATCATGGTTCGAGAAGCAGTCGGTGAAATGAATGGGGATGGAGAAGTGTTTACAGACCTCTGCACATTTAATGATTTGTTGATTGGAGGCAGTGTGTACAAACACAATGATATTCCCAAGGCGACATGGATTTCACCAGACACCAGGACACACTAAAAATTAGATTGACTTCATGTCAATGTGAAGAAAGTGGAGATGCAGTCAGCCTACATGACACAAGATCAGATCAAGAAGAGGAGCAGATGTAGGTTCACAACACTCATTATCTAGTGCAACGAACCTAATTACAAACTTTTATCAACCTAATAGCTATATGAAGGCTCCACATACCAAGTGATTCACAATGGAAAGCTACTCAGTGATGCCTTTGAAGTGAAGACAGGTTGTAGTCGACTAGACTGGACTGGATAATGCAACAAACTGTGAGGAGCGAGAAGATGGGCATATGCTGCTTCATCGATGAAGCGACCCCACAAGAAGATTTGGATATCGCAAACGATGATGATTTATGTCTAATGTCGCATAAACTCAAAGATCTACTGGCAAAAACTAACAAGTTGACAGAAGAGGCGAGTCAGCGAATGAAGACGGGACCTCCTTCAGATGAATGTAGAGAAGAGAGAGGTGTTGACAATACCCAACGACAAGAACAACAAGAAGGACCAATTACGATGACCGGGAGAAATCTAAAGGAAGTTGTCACTTTCACCTACTTAGGCAGGCAGCATCGTTTCAACTACAGGTGGCGGTGGCGGCACAGATGAGGATGTCAAAGCCAGCATCGGAAAGACAGCAAGACAGGCCTTCCTTCATTAATCTGAAATAATCAGTGTGGAGATCTACTGCACTCAGCATAAAGTGTGAACAACATCAGAATTTTCAACATTAGTGTTAGTCAAGTCAGCGCTTCTATGTGGTGGTTGAGAGGCTTGGCGCGTTAAGAAAAGCATTTCCATGAAACTACAGACATACATGAACAGCCACCGCCTACGCTCAATCGCCCGATACTGAAGATGAGACGGCCAGAAAGAATAAGCGAGAGGAAACTCTGGCTGGCTGGCAATGAACCAACCAACAACCTGTCGCCCAACAAATATGCAGAGGAAAAAGAAAGTGGATATGGATTGGATTGGGCATACACTGAGAAAGAAGACCGTTTGAAAACATCACACGCCAGGCCAGGCATTCGAATGGAACCCAAATGGGAAACGACAAGTTGAGCTTCGGAGGCGAGGGTGACATGGAGGAGATGGTGTGAGGAAGAAATGAAAGCTTGTGGGCAGTCGTGGAGCCAGGTTAAAAAGACTGCAGAGAGCGAAATGACAACGTGCTACTGAATCCCTATGTTCCACTAGAAACCCAAAGGAGGATAAATAAAAATAAATTGCTACCACCTTTGAGCTATATCACAAATTATACCTACCTAGTCAATACTTCTTACTTTAGAAAAGACGTAATGCTACCCGAACGCAACTACACACTTCAAATAAATGCTCAAATATTCATTACTGTTTCTGAACATAAGTATCGTTAGCATCGGTTGACCTCCGTGAACCATTCACTCATCATCCATTTTCAATTAGGTCGCTTTCATAACTTAACACTTCAGAAGACTAGCGAGTATAATCATAATCTAACTGATTTACCTTTTTCAACTGAAAATCACAGTTTTAAATCATCAAATAACACAAGACTAGACAATGACAGTTGGATGAAAAAGCGTTTGTTAGTGTGAAGCGCAAGCATATTTACTACTTCGGTATATATATATATATATATATATATATATATATATATATATATATATATATATGCTAAAATGAGCAATAAACTTTGACGATATAAACCGGCAGAATCATAATTTAAAAAAGACGTCAAAAATCATTAGACTTACATAAAAACATCCACAAGCTTATTGATGAACTGAGATGAAACAGTGGAAGTCATTCGAATAAGATGTTGAATTTCATTTACAATCGGTAGAAGATTATCATCTAGCAATGAGTTATTACTGAAGGAACAGTAACTTGATACGGGTGACATTTGACAACATGAAGCAAGAAGTGTAACCAAATATCGCATCTGATTAATCCCTCTGATACTTTGATTTACCATAATTTGACGATAAAGTGAACAACTATTGTCATCATTGGTCTTGTTGACATCAGCTGCAGTATGATTGACTGATTGAAAATGACCGATATCTGAAGGGCATGATTTGTTTCGTTGAAGTGAGATGGGATGTACTTTGTCTTGTTTTGAAAAAGCTAGATAAACAGGTAACATTTTAGACAAGTGGTGTAACATTTCTAGTATATCGTAGAAAATATTTGTCCCTCTGGGTATGGAAGCGCAGATCTAGTTGCTCTCTAAAAATCACTTATACTAGCAACCCAATAGAAAAAGCTTGTGCAAAGGACAAACTACCACTGCTGGTTGCTTCGATGTGTATATATATCTGTTCGCCTGCTCTTGTAGAGCTAGGTACATACGATGTGGAGACAGAGGTATATTGCTTAAAGTCGACGTGAACATTTAGCATGGTTCAAATAAAGGTGAATTTAGATCACTCAACATTTTCATCGTACAACACTTAGGCGACAATGAACGTACAATTTCATAAGATTCATTTTTTTCAGCTTATAGAATTCAGAAAAAACTTTCAAAAGGCGTAAACAAGCGTCTATTACATATTGCTGAAGCTTTAGCAATACAGAAGTAGAGGCCAGAATTACGTTCAAATGCAAGTTTTTGCTTTGTTTTCCTTGTTCATTTATTAACATTGTAAATGTTTGGACCTGAATAACTGTTCTTGTCTTTTGTGTTTTGAATTATTGGTTGACAAATATCGGTATTTTTGCTACTAAATTATTTAAATGGAATCGTACATTTTTTTTAGAATGATATCAAAGAGAACAAATTTCTTTTCTGAAATTTTCTCTCCTGTTAATTTTCTTTACAGATTTTTTATTGACTTGGAGGAACATCTCTCAATAGAATTCACTAGAAAATTTCGAACATACATTTTTCTTCGGATCTATTTGATTTGATCGTATTGTGATATGTTTATACTCATCGTTACAGTTATTTCAAAACACCCTATCAATGTGAACTTCCTATTCCCCCCTTAAGACACAAAAGTCAGCCAATGCGATCGACACAGTTTTTATCAATACATCTAGACGAAAAGGGCCAGTAAAACGCAACGAAGTGAACTCAACATAGTGCATGCAAACAACAGGTTACCTAATCATATGGTTGGATACCGCTCTGAAAAAACTGGAGGTAAAACTTCAACCAATCTGACTGAACTCAAGCAAAGTAGCATGTTATAAATATCCATACAAAACCAATTATTTGACTTCCTTACGATGCTCTGGTGCATTGATGAAGCTAACCGGCACTATATTGAAACCTTAGTTCCATGACCAACTAAGTCTAAGCTTTCTTATTATTTAAACAGCGTAATGAGAAGACGAAGATTATCTGAAACATGTGATGTATTAGCGCTATACATTTCGAACAATCTGATCACACACGGACTTGTCGAACTATTTATGTGAAAATGTACGAAAAAGGTCAATGAAGTTATGTATACAAAAACAATTCGTACTCACGTTGAACTTACCTTGGTAGTATTGATTTAAATTTTTATACCAAGAGTAAGGTTTTTTTTCTATCCGTTCCTATTAACGTCATTGACCTTTTTCGTAAATTTTCACATAAATAGTTCGACAAGCCCATATGTGATCAGATTGTTCGAAATGTATAGCGCTAATACATCACATGTTTCAGATAATCTTCGTCTTCTCATTAAGTTGTTTAAATTTATTAAAGGGACCAGTTGCCTTAAATTTCCTACTATTATTTTACTGGACTACTTATAAGTAATTGATGTTTTCAGTACGATTTCTCAGTTAATCTCTTGTTAATTAGTTGAGTCTTGTTATTTCATTGGTTGCAGTAACAAGATGGCATTCAACCATATTGGAGTGCGATCAAGTTGTAGTAACGCGTCACGAATTCACATGGTAGTCGGGTAAAACCCTTTATGATTGAAGTGAAATAAAAATCTGGTCAGCAGTCGGACCTCGTAGCTCAGTTGGTAGAACATCGGGCCGCAAACTCGATAGTCGCTAGTTCGAATCTGGCCACGTTCCAAATTTTTACTTCACCTTCAATCATAACCCAGTATCAATACTAATCTGCGAAACCACGGCTATCTCAGATAGTCAAAATGATATATTGGATTTGTCTTTTTTTAACCTTTGCTCATTATAGTTTTCCTGTTAGCTGCTTTTGTATCATCACACGCATGAGTGTGTAGTTCACACCACTCACCAGTTGATTACGAGAAATCCAATCAGTATCGCGACCGCAAACTAATCTCCGGCGCATTCATTCAGAGCAATGAATTTAATAGGCAGTTATTCATTGACGATCACTTAAAACAAGCCTGATTACGCTACATTATTGAGTCAAAAAAGTATGCTCTGCTGTTAGTACTCGTCTGTAGGGCGTATCTGCAATCTCCAGGGAAATTATGTCTCCTTAGAGATTCAAAACTGTTTCACCTAGTGCTGTAGTCAGGAACGATAAGAAGCACGAAACCTGTGCTCAGGATTTCCAATAGCTTACCGTTAACCAACTAACACCTTACTACTGTCTGTTAAACTCCATGTCAAACAATCCAGAACTAGTTGAAGATAAACAGCAATTATCATACACACAGTAAAAAGCATGCAGTAGAAGGTGAACAAAATGACGAGTAACTTCACAAGCCTTCATAAAACTTATTTTAATGGTGAATACCTGAAACCGTTTATACGAAAACATATATGCAAATAACACTATTCAACAATTCCCTCGATACACCCTACATATATATATATATATATATATATATATATATATATCCAGGAATTTTATTTTACAGAAACCAGTATTATGCAGTAATAAATGAGTGTTATTGGAACAATAAGATGAGATTGAATATAGTAAACTGTCTGTAATCGTCCCAAACTTAATCCCACCAAGATATGCTGTCATAGCTAAACAATACTCCAGTGATACTGGGTGATGATTGAAGGTGAAATGAAAATCTGGACCGCTGCCGGATTCTAACCAATGACCGCCAGGTTTCCGGTCAGGTCTAATGATTTGAAAAAACCCACTGATTAGAGCATGAGAAATGATCTAGATGTACATAAACAATTAATACCTTAAACTAAGCTCCACCAGAAATAGAAACTTACATCTAGGTTGAGATGGGAATGTAAGAGATGTAACAGTTTGTGATGCAGGTGCACCCTCAAAAGGGTCTTCACCTAAATAGGATATTTCATGAGAGTTGAAATCAGATATCTCCATATTTAGTCGTTCATTTTCGTTTTCTTCTTCTTCTCCCTCTTCTTTGAGTGCTTCATCATCTACCTCCTGTAAGTCTGGATGATATCTGTTCCCTGAAATTCTAACAGATTGACTGCAAGGTTCCGAAAGTGCACGAATGCATGCCTAGTAGTAAAAGTGAGAATAGGCGAAATATTACAGTTGTTCATCGTGAAAAGGATTGAGAATATAGTTCACTAAGAAAAATGTCTATTGCTAAGTGATGATGACAGCAATCTGAGATAACTTCAACAGTAAAATTAATTCCTTGGGGTGAACTATGCTTTCAAAAAATTCATCAGAAACTTAGTGTTACGAAATCTCTTAGACTGCAAGCCAGTCACCCTGAGATGAGAATATCACCAATTTCTTTATCCTAAAAACTGTTCTCATAAGGAACATCCTTGCTTGTCACCGTTACTGGGTCTTATAATTGGTTAGTAGTAGTTGTAGCAATGTTTTCATTCCTGGTCTCAGAAGATCTGTTGGTATTCCATCCCTTGGCTGAAATGAAGCGTGGTAACTCATGGATATATATATATATATATATATATATATATATATATATATATGTGTATACATATACATGAAGGCATCACTGAGCTTCCCATTGTGGATTACTTGGCATGTGGCATCTTCATATAGTTGTTGAATGAGGCGGATAAAGGTTTGCGGTACTCCGTAGTATTGAAGCAGTTTCCAAATTACTTCTCGGTCGACGCTGTCAAAGGCCTTCTCAAAGTCGATGAAGTTGAGGTAGAGAGCTGATTGCCATTCTACGCTCTGTTCTATGATGATACGAAGCGTTGCAATTTGGTCTGCACATGATTTGTACTTCCTGAAGCCTGCCTGTTCCGGTCGTAGTTTTGAATCCAGTGCATCCCTTAGCCTCTCCAGGATGATGCGGCTTAATATTTTACTTGGGGTGGACAGGAGAGTGATTCCGCGCCAGTTCTTGCAAGCACTGAGGTCTTCCTTCTTCGGCAGTTTGACAAGGTAACCCTTCTTCCAATCGTCAGGTACCTTCTCTTCCCTCCACACCTTCTGCAATAGTGGTGTGGTGTGAGCATGTCGGCTGTTGTCTCTGCATATGTTCTCAGTGCTTCTGGCGGGATTCCATCTGGTCCTGCTGCTTTCCCGCATTTCAGTAGCTTTATGGCGTTCAGGACTTCCATTTTCGTTGGGGGATTTATGTTCACTTGTAATTCAGCGGCTGCAGGTGGTATTTCTGGACGAAGTGAAGGTGGTGGTCGATTCAAGAGCTTCTTGAAGTGGTCGGCCCATCGTTTCCTCTGTTTCTCTTCTTTTGTAATTAAATTTCCTTCTTCATCTTTTATTGGTTTCATCTGTGTTGGTCTCTTCCCTGATAGCAACCTGGTTATTTGATACAATGTCGTCAGGTCTCTCTTACCTGCAGCTTGTTCTGCTTCACTTGCCAGTGTTTCGTAGAAATGTCTTTTGTCTTTGCGTGCACTCTTCTTCACTTCTTTGTCCAGTGTTTTATACATTGTGCTCAGTTCCTCTTGTCGTTGAGCATCCTTGCACTGGTTTATCTTCTGCTTCACCATCCTCCTCTCCTCTATCAGCTTCCAGGTATCCGTCGAGACCCATTCCTTGTCTTCTTTCTTCTTCCTTCCTAATACTGCTGTGCAGGTTTCTTTCCACATAGCTTTCAAAGACTTCCAGTGTTCTTCCACACAGGTTTCTTCAGGGATGTCCCTCGATGTCTCCCACTTTGTCTTGATGGCTGCCTTGAAGATCTCCTTTGTAGTTTCATCCTTCAGTTTCCGAGTGTTGTACTTGAATTGAGGTCTATCACCAGCTTCCTTGAAGGCTTTTAACTTGATTTGGAAGTTAGGTTCCTTGCACTAGACAGTGAGTGGTCTGAACCTACATCTGCTCCTCTTCTTGACCTTGTGTTAAGTAGACTGCGTCTCCATTTTCTTGAGATTGAGATAAAGTCGATTTCATTTTTAGTGTGTCCATCTGGTGAAGTCCATGTCGCTTTGTGGATATCCTTGTGCCTGAACACACTGCCTCCAATCACCAAATCGTTGAATGCACAGAATTCTGCAAACAATTCTCCATTCTCATTCATTTCACCTAGCGCCTCTCGACCCATGGTTAGTTCTCTTCCCGTGTTGTCCCCTCCCAGTTTGGCATTCATGTCGCCCATTAGAATTTTGATATCGCCAACTGACGTCTTGTCCAGTGTTGATTGAAGTTGTCTGTAGAATTCCTCCTTTTTCTCTTCATCTGCATTATTTGTGGGTGCATAACATTGTATGATTGTGACCTTTCTTCCTTTTGAGTTGAATCTTGCTGTCATGATCCTGGAGGAGATTGGTTCCCACTGCATGAGAGAGAGCCTTCGATGCTCTTGAGGACATCATGATAGCCACTCCATAACTCAGTGTGCTCGTGGTTGGCGTCTGGGTGACCGGAGTAGATTATTGATTCTCCAGTTGACAGTTTGGAGAGTCCACTCCCATTCCATCTGCTTTCGCAAATCCCAAGCACTTCGATGTGATACCTTCTCATCTCCTTTGCAATCTGGGCTGCCTTACTGGGTTCAAACATCGTACGGACATTCCATGTCCCCACGTTTACTTTCGCTTTCATCGAGAGAAGACACATCGGCCAATTGGCTTCCCGAAGGCTTTCACCAAATGGCGTTATTTCGCCTCTCCGATTCCAGCGGGGAATAAGTTTGTTTTCATTTTTTATATTTTGTTTGTGCTTTGAAGTTTCTTTAGCGGTTAGATTTGTTTTACGGGGTAGGGTTGCTAGCCCTATGCCCAACCTTCCCTCTTTACCCGGGCTTAGGACCGGCTAGTAACTAGTAAACTAGTTAACCAGGCGAGGTTATATATATATATATATATATATATATATATATATATATATATATGTAATGAAGATTTTTATCCGACAAGATTACTGAAGTATCCATTTGATATCAAATCAAAAAGAATTTTCTCCATACTTTAGACAGAAACAAGATTGAAATATACAATAAATGCAGATTGCTTGTGACCGTTAGTGTCCGCATTGTTGAGAATCGAATTGCAAGTTAAAACGATCAACGACTTGATGCTAAAAGGTAAACTGACATCAGTCAAGCCAACAGCAGTAAAGTGAGCATCTTACCAATTTATAAGGTGAAATTGCCATGACCGGTAGTACGACCTAACAATCTACGAGCGATACGAACCAGACGCTTAAAGGAATCGACCCTAAAGCAAAGCAGAACGTCAACCACCACAACAACAATACCACCAACATCCGGAGACAAGAAGAGAAGACAGACCGTTGACAGAGAGCTTTCACTGTCTCAATAACAGTCAAAACAGTTGAGAGTGATGTTGAATGTATACATTTCTAAATGACCTTGACATCACTAAATTCACATTTAGGTTAGAGTTAACATCCAATGAGAGTTCAATAGGATCAATGGGAAACAAAAGCTAGCAACGGTGTGAAAACAACATTGATAAGTTATTTTAAGGTTATGAGCGAGCAACAGGCAAAAGTTATGCAAAATTAGGGGTACGCAACAGAAATGATCACTCTCTGTTTCCTGACCACCACGAGAGAAGTCTCATAAGGCAATTATTTAGTAATAATAAACATGTTAGCCTATTTACTGAATTGTGACTTAGAATACAGGAAAGCTTTTTAATAAACACAGATTAGGTTACTTTGAGATTATTGCTATATTTGTAACTCAGGAGGAGGATTTTGATGGTGTTATATTCTCTGAGGTGAATGATTTAATCGTGAAGCTTTCACTGTCATTCTAGACAACATTTGCAGCACAAACTTCAGAAGGAAGTGAGCTAGAGGGTTTTCTTCACAAGTAGCTTGTCCTGATGGCTCTGTGTCAAATTGGTTGTTTCTGCTCAAGTCTTGTCATTGTCTTCTCATTCATTTTGATTCACCTTGTCCTGCCAACATGAACTTCGACTTTCTTGGTGTTTCATTACCGGTTGACAGATTGGGTTAATGTCAATATATCTGTTGATCGCTGACTGACCTAAATATCAAGCTCCTAAAAATCCTCTGGCTACAAGAAAATCAAAGTTAACGTTAGCAGGACTACCAATCGAAATAAATATGCAGACGATGAAAAGACTTTAGTAAAAATAACCAATCACACACAAGACCATCAGGACAAGCTACTAAGCTACTTGTGAAGAAAACCCTCTAGCTCACTTCCTTCTGAAGTTTGTGCTGCAAATATTGTCTAGAATGACAATGAAAGCTTCACGATTAAATCATCCAGCTCAGAGAAAATAAACACAATCAAAATAGATTAGGTCATTTTCAAATTCATTAACACTTTGTGATATGAAAGCAAAACTGAATAACTATGTTTAGTAATGATGGGCAGTGGAATACAGGATGCGCACTTCGTTCTATTTGGGACTCGTCAGCTGGAGGTACCTGCTTCCCAGTGAGTGTTGTTCCCACCGGGACTCGGGAGCGATCGCTCCAAACGCCAGAGCGTTGCCCACCATACCACCGAGCCACGGTAGCCACTTCTTGTGCAACAGGTATAGGTTTTAGTGTTATTGCTTGTATTACACCGTCGTTGATAGGACCGAATTGATCAGCTTCTGTTGGCATATGGGCGATCAACTCGGTCCTATCGACGACGGTGTAATACAAGCAATAACACTGAATAACTATGCTAAAAATTTATGTCATTAGTATGAACTCACTTTTAATTGTTCCTCAATCCTTAACATCAAATATGGTACAGAATCAGAAAACCGTTTAACCATTCGATTCAAACGTAACGAACAGCTATCGGTCGACAACTGTTGGTTAAGGGTATCTGAATAACATGGAAGCAGTCTACTTATCCCTGTAAGATAATAATCTGATGTTATCCAAGCAGAATCTTCTGGATTTGTAGAACATGAAGAAAACGACGGAACCCGAGAATTTATATCGACAGTACTCCTAAAAAAATAAGCACAATTTCAAATTGAAAGGTATGGTAAAAAAAATAGTTTAGTTCAGAAAACTCCCCAGTTTATGAAGCTTTCAATGGCATATCATTGATGGGTTACTGTCATGTCTTCATAGTTTAGCAAATAACTGCTTCGGTTAACATCTGTTACAGGATTTCATGATATAAAAATTACATGAAGTGACCAACAGATGGCAACCATTATAGCTGTCACGTTCAAAGTATCCAGGACCAATAGAAGATGGTCAATCGATTTTGCAGTAAGATCACCAAGCTAAGCAATGCAAAACTGCCACGCACTGCACTTTTTCTATGTCAGGAACCAATCTTTAGGAGGCTTTAAATCCAAGTTTCGCACTTGCTGGCATTCGTCAGCAAGGTGTATCTTGAAGAGACTTATTCCGTCGGAGAATCGAACTTGACAGTTATATCGATTGTCATCTTTTGACCAGATTGTGTTCTAGATAGAATCAGTTGTGGCCTTGAACAGTTAAGTAATAAAGTTTCTAGATTTCGGTACAAAGCGGTTTGACTTCCAATTCCCAGGGGGGGGGGAGGGAAACAAGTTGTTGATGAGTACCATGATAAATTGTATTTAACATTCGAAAATGATCATTTACGTCATATGGAGCTCCTTTTGTCTAATGTAGAAACTACCAGAAAAACACATCAATTGGCAGTTGATTATTATCAACACTAACAATTTTTTTAAAGTAAGCCATTACAATTTCTGACAGCCTTTCAAAGTCAAAAATGCTTCCCTACCTACCTATAGTACCTACTGACTTGTCCTTGAAGATAAACTAATAAATAAATAAAAACTAAACGGAGTGTAATATTGAATTTTAGACTTTGAAGTCATGAAATGATATTCCTCAATAAATCCAGACCAAACTTTTTCGGAATGATGGTAATTTCCAAAATACTCAGATTGTCATCATTGAGTTTCACCAGCAAGATTCACAGAAAAATAGTGTCAACCTCATTCAAAACATACTCGGACACTCTTTGGTGGGTGAATTGTGCTATAATAATAATAATAATAATAATAATAATAATAATAATAATAATAATAATAATAATAGTCACTTCATTCCAAGTAATTTTGATACAATTTGGAATTCTCAGAATGATCATTACAACTGCTTTCTTTATTAACTTGGACATTTTTCATGAGACAAATCACTACTTGTATGTAGTCTCGACTCTGGTTTCCTAACAGTCTCTGTTGGTATCGCAGTTGGTCGTTAAAAAACCAACCATTTGCATAGCATTAGAGATAGAAAAGATACGATTTGTAAACGGTTTATAAACTATTCAAAATAAACAGTGACATTTTACTTTGAGGCTTTAGGAAGTCACACATCTCGGTCACTTGTTATTAAGGTAATAAGTAGTCAGATACAACAAAGTTAAATTGTAACACTAACATCTTACCTCCTTTTATCGTTCTGAGGAATTGAAATCGATAAGTCTAATAATTCTGACAACAAGTCAGACGTTTCAGTGGTTAATTCATGGGAAGACTTGATATTAGAAAAAGTACCCGGCATAATTCGATAACACAAGGTACGACTATTAGCAGGATCAGTTAAGACATCGCTGGTTTCAACGCATGCATCAACCAAAGACGCAAGAATTGGTTGCCTTACGTGCTCAGGAGAGTTATGTGATGACTTAGTATCAGGTGATACAACACAACGTTGTCGCTTTCTCGGCGTACTTGACAATGTGGTATCATCAACTGGTAAAAGTTCATTTGCATCCTTATCTTTTTGAATAGACGAATTAAGCTTATCTTCAAAATCGTTTGTGATATTAACATTCCATGTTAAACCATGTGGGACTTTATGTCTTCGGCTGGGAACAGGAGTAACTGGTGCAGGGAGATGAAAATCTGCGGATGGTATCCGAGATACAGGTGTTCGTACCTTCCGGTTAGAAATAAAATCAGGATTCGGGGAAGTCAATGACACTAAGATCTGCGATGCAGGTGAGTATTCCAAAGATCGTTCTGAAAACGAAACATATGAATAATCGTTATTTAAACTCTCAAAGAATATAAGATATTTTCTTAGTAAATCAAGATTACGGTGCGGCTGGAGTCAGAACATTTACAATGCTATGTGTAAATCAGCGTTAATTATAAGTCAAATCGATGTAAACAATCATCCCTACAATGAAAGTAAAGACGAAGATTGAAAATCGCAATTTAAGACGGTTTAATAGATATTTCTTTATATATTGTCCGAAATAAGCGAGTTAGCCAAACCCTTTATGAATTAGTATTCAGATGAATTGTAAGAATAATTACTTGCGTCCACTATACCACCTTTCAACTTTATTATCTATTCACATACATGCTTTGCATACCTACTTAATTGTTGGGCTTCCTTGAAGACCATCCTAAAAACGATAGAAATAACCAATCAGGTTTCTCCATTTCAGCTGGAAAAGGCATATTTTCATAAAATATAGGAGTCTAATCAGTTATTTCAGTTGTTGCTAAGGTGGTCTTTAAAGTCACTTAAATTGTAACACCTCTACTAGCCCTGTTTTACAATTGCATCACAAAAGAAAAGCCACAAATACTCTATACTTTGTTTTTGTTCAACGAATGTCTCCTTCGTTTGTATTAGGAATGGTCCGGGTTGGTGGGCACGAAGTGACATATTTACTATGTGAGGCAGGACAAACTCCCCCTAACCTAAACCTACTGGTCGTCCACAAAGCTTTGCAAGGCACAAACCACTCCACAACCTACATATGGACCAAGTAAGCTTGAAGATTAGTTCCTTAAACACTAATTAACCCTTAGCACTGCACAAAATGAAATCTAGTCAATACGCATTTTTTTGCATACTCTCCTATATGCAGTAGATTTATGGATCAGGAAAAATAACGAGCATACGAAAATATAGTAGATGAATTGGAGTTGAAATATGTGGATAAGTGATTAAAGATTTAAAACCTGAACTATACAATTATATTTTTCCTGTGTAGTTAGTGTATGCATGTTGGGGGGGGGGGGAGGAGGGAGGGAGGGAGGGGGAGCTGTTCAATGACTTTAAAAAGCATGCTTTGAAGCTAACGAACAGATTATTTACAAAAAACTCAGCAGTTCGTAAACCTGATCAGTCACATTTCAGAACATCGACAAACTTAATACTACCCCCTAGTCGAACCATGTTCTTAGGACTAAACGAGGCATCCGACTCTGTCAATCTAAGTATCTTGCATGGATAACGTCTTCTCTCGAAAATAAGCAGACAATTATATCACACTGCTGACAGCTTACACTGAACTGGGCCAAGTCTACAGTATGAAGGAAAATAGTAATCAGATCTCTTTAAAGCTTAAAATATGAGGATGAAGCTTAAATCCAACGCCCACTAGTTGAAAACTAGGTATCTAAACAACTGAACCATAACTCTATCTGAAGATACTGATGAAACTGACTGTTTTTATCCCAAAGTTCTCAATACTTCATCTAATCTGAGGTACTCTGACCAGCCTAGACTATGCAGATTTAATATGACCACATAAACACTAATAGAAGAAAACCTTTAAAGCATCTAGAACGAAGGCTAAACGGGCTTTTACGGACACTTTTTCCGTTTATATGAAACCTGATGACCCGGAATAGGTCTCCATGAAGCCTAGTTTAACAAAAATTAAGGTTAACGAGTGGCTTAACCATTTCAATTATTTGATGAGTTGTACCGTTTCTACTGAACTGGCTTAAAACAAAATTCGATGAAAGTGGAGAAAACTTGACTACCTTTTGCCAACATTAAGAACCTGGGGAGTGAGAAGGATATTTGAATACCTATCACAAGAAAAGTTGGTTTTTCAACAATCCACCCTATTCTGCCATGTAACTGACAGAACTGAAGAGATATTATTTATTCTGTTATGAACATTCTTGAAGCATCGTTCGTGTCCCAGAATCACAGTGAATAATATCGAATTTCGATATGAAGCCATCAGAATTTGAAAAATGCATGAGAAATAGTTGAAATAAAACTCACAAAAATCAAAACTGACTATGAGGTTGTAGTGTGAAATCAACTTCAGAAAAATTTGGAAATAACAAATATTAACTAGAAAACAGTCTGTCATCAAATATAAACAAAGTGTTATACTCACCGTTTAATAATTGTTTATTGACTGCTGCCTCTTCTTTAAACCGAGCTAGCTCACTACATACCAATCGATAATCAGCTTCACGAAACGCTATTTGGGCATTCAATTCACTTAGTTTACGTTGGAAATCACTTCGTTCAGAAGCAAGATGTGATTCTAGCTTACTGATAGTATCAGAATCTGTAGCCTTGGCCCGACTTGCAGACTCTTTGATAGTAGCCAATTCACCTAGTTTCATATATAACTCTTCGCGTAAAACAGATAACTAGAGAAGTTGAAAGAAAAACATATGTTTTACGAATATACCAATAACATGTGTTTTTCAGAACAAGCTGAAAATCTTGATCAAATGAATAAGTGGTGAAATACAGTTAGTAAATTTGTCATGATTAGCGATTACGGTTTGATTTTTGGGGGTGAACTGTTGAGAACATTGAAACGTTTTACGCTTTTTGGTACTCAACAAAAAGCTTTAAGTTCAACATTAGAGACTAGTGATATTCGGATATGTGTTTTCAGAATTTCAACAAATTTCATTATATACAAACAACTGCGAAGTTTGGTTGTTTAGATTTGTGATACACCTTGGTTCGCACATATTTTGGCTAACAATGAAAACTACAGCCTAACACTGGTCATTGCTTGCTAATTGATTCATATAAAGTGATGGTTCGACGCTAATTAGTGAAGCGGTCACTGAACTGACAACCAGAAAATGATCAAAAACACAAAATAAAGTATAGAGCAATTGAGTACAAGCAGATGACCACTAACTCTCAATGAAAAGAACACTATATTCAGTTTTCGATAGAGGCTTCTAACACCTAAAATCAAGACACTTGTTTCATTGTCGGATCCATAAGTTGAGGGGTTTTCGACACAGCTACTGGAACTTGGATCGAATATGCATCACCCTAAGTGTCAATAAGCTATCCACTAGGTTACTACATCAAGATAGCCTTACTGGTAAAATAATATTTGAAAATAGTTTTCATTACCAAGTGATACCACTGAGATATTATTGGACACCAAGCAATATTAAACAGCTTTTCCATTCTAATTTGTAATCAAACAACAAGCTTTTCATGAGAAAATTTGATAGCTTCTAGTCAACTTGCACTGAACATACCTACTTTTCGTTTTCACAAGTGTTGAACCCTATCATCTACACAGATTTTGGCAGTCCAGTAGTATCCTGAACCCCTTTTTTACAAGATTAGTGAATCTCATTTATGAGATGATTTCGAAAATAAAAGTTACAGTAACAAACCCTATGCTTATTTGGGAACCTTGAAACTCCTGGACAATCGATAATCTGTTTCAGTAAACGGTGAGGATAGTAGTGTTGGCGAAAACATGTACAACGCTTATACAATAACCTTAAGGTTTACTAATAGCAATCATAAACTGCAATAAGCAACAACTGGAAGCTGTTTTAACTCATCCGAGTCACCAATGACAAAATGTCTGATATCTGAGGGACAACTTATAAAGTAGGTGGTATACCAAACAATAATATTCAAAGATACTTGGAAGGGTGGATAAAACGTTCCGAAAGACAGTCATATTAGCCTAGCACTACGTATTTGGTTAACACTGATTCACCTAACGCCCTTATCACTAATAAATTGTCTGACTGCACACGGAATCTATTCAAAACAGGGAAATATATTTCAGAAACCAACAGCAAATGGTAACATAAACATTTGTTGGGAAAAATCTCAAAAATTACCTCCAAAGAGTAAGCGAAGTCAACACAAAACCTACACGAACTTTCATTAAGAGTCAATTAAAGACTTCCACAAGTACTGGGATTCGAAAGAGTGAGTGACAAGTGTCACATTTTTATTGATCTAAGAGTGTTTGGAACAGAAGAATCTCAAGGTTTGTCCCGAAGCCTGATCCGGCCTTCAGGAAAATTATCATATATATATATATATATATATATATATATATATATATATATATATATATATATATATATATATATATATATATATATAATTTACAGAAACAACTTGTACGTAATGTTAACACAAAACGATTGCTTACTTCCTTTTTTAGGCGCTCAACTTCATCTCGATTTGTATTTAAAATCTTGTCATTCCGCGGAAAGTGAGACACTTGATCACTTCCATTCAACTTCGTGTCTAAAGATGTTGACCGAGTTAAAAAGCTTGATGATTCTAAAATTGAAAATAACTGATTAAATGTGAAAGAACTTACTGTCAGAATGAAGTCTCAGTTTTGAAGAATCTTCAGTAATGTGAGCTGATGCTACAAGTAAATGAGTTATTTATTAATCTTTTCCTTACCGTTTTCATATTGATGCTGAGTGCATATGAGGTCAAATTGGTCAAGAATCTCCTGGGTAAGTTCATCGTCATCCATAGGTGAAGAAAAATTTTACGAATTCTGAATAATAAGCAGGAAGATGGGGAACAACGTTTGTCATGACAGTGAAGAAATATTCAAAATAAAATAAGTATGCATACAGAAAGGCAATATGACATGTTAAGAAGCGGATAACAGAAGTGTAAGACTGATTCGATCCATTTTATGTTGTGTGACTGTTAAGAAGTGAAGGGACGGATATAAACAGGCAAAATACAATTAGTTAAGCTCCATGTCCACTTTCAGTTCCGCTTTTTCCCCAACAGGGACTGAAAGAAATCAAGGTAAGATTTAAAAAACAAGATTGAAAGGAGGAAATAAAAACCCTGCAAGATAATAACTTTAACCTAAAGAGATGGTGCTTAAAGTGATGTAGAAATGATGTCCTAAAGTAGGTTCTGGAACACAGGCATACTTACCGGCGGCCCACACTTGCCACATTCCTTGACCCGAAGGCGGCGCTTAATTCTGTCGACCGTGAGGCGTTGAGGCACTATCTAGCTGTGAAGGGAGTACTCAGCAAACATAAAACGCCTATCAAAGCTCTCCATTCAAACTCATGCAGCGGTGTCAGGGCTTAGAGAGAGTGAATGACAACAACTGGCATTGTCCACCAGGAATGCAAAATGTCACCGTTTTTATTTAACTTCGTTATAGACTTACTAATGCATATAACTTCTGTCCACGTCTGATTTCATAGGGATTGAGCTACTCCCTAGAGGTCATCTGATTGACTTGGAATATGCAGATGATATTTTCCTGCTAGTTGAAGACGCTGACAGAATGCAGGGTCTTGTGAACGCGTTAAGGAGAAATCTGTGTGTTTGGCATGTGTTTCGCTGGCACCTATCAAATATGAGATGATGCTCCAGGATGGGTCTGCTGCAAGCACTCCCAGTTTAATGGTAGGGAGTGAAGTGGTGGAATGTGTCAACCAATTCACTTTTCTTAAAATAATAATAATGGCTTTATTCTGAAAGATATTTCAGGAATACTTGAGGAGTTGCATGGGCCCGAACGGGCTGGTAGCTGACAAAACCTCAGCTCCGGTACAAAAGCCCCGGGTAGCACTTACCAACTCGCGTAGTCTATGGTACCGACTGGCAAGATATCCAACTATTAATCAAAGGACGAGTATGCTGCGCTGCAGTTTATCCTGTCTTGTGACACAGTTGACATAGTCGTTAAAAGTAGAAGACATGAAGCGACTACAGGATTTTGATCACAGATGTCTTCATAGCATTACTCACGTTTGGCGGAATCACCATGTGAGCAATGTTGGGGTCGGGCGAAGGATGCTAGGCGAGAAGGGCAAGTCGAATGATGAGATTGTGAACCTTTATAGAATGAAATGGCCTGGACATGTACAGCGAATGCTAAACCACTGCCTACCATGCTAGGGGAAGCTGGGTTAAGTTTAAAGAATGTTCAGGGTGACCAGATCAGGACCTTATAACAGTAAATGAGGTCCGTGACTGTTGGTCTTAGCCGTGTGGAGAGACGTAGACTATCTGACTGGCGTCGCTGAGATGACGGGAATCAGTTGTTGACGACTCTTGGTGACACGGCTGAAAATCGGTCACAATGGCGATGTATTCACTCTTTGGTATCTTTTAAAGCTTGAATATCCCCACTAAGCATTACATTCAAGTTGCATACTGTGTTTCACAACTTGATCTAGTTAGATATCACTTTTTCTGTCAACCTCTTCTTTGTAAACTACTATGAAGTATGGCAACTTGAACCTATGCACTCATGTATGAGGTTCTACGTTGATTTGGTTTGTCTGTCTGGGTGATGTACTAAAGGCGAAATGAACAATATTACTGAAATCATAGCATACAAAATGACGTTGCGGCTTACTAAGTCAGATGGGGAGGGCCTAGTTAACTGATATCTTAACTTGAAGTACTTCCTTTCCCAAAAGAAACGCTCGTACAGGTATATAGCAAGTGCTAACTAATTAAGCAAAATCAGTTCTTGAATACAGACGAAATAAGTTTCAGTTTTCAGTAATACGGATAGTAATTCATTTGGTCTGTGTTGATCCTTGCAGAAGATATCTCTGTGAAGAGCTAGTTTTTACTCTAACACGTTGACCGAAGGTGCTGATGCTACTTGCTAAGGCAAGGAGTTCCAGACGTTGGCCACACGATGGGAGAAACGCAGATTCACGCTAAGTTGATTCGATCGCGGTTTTTGGATTTTCTTGTGATGCCCTTGGAGATAACCAATACTAGCAAGAGCAAAGAGATACGACATATCAGTACCGAATTCATTATTAAGGATACGAAATGCCGGTATGAGATCACCCAGTTTCCTGCTGTAAAACAGCGGAGACAAGTTTAGCCGATCTAGTCGCTCCTCATAGGGCAGATTCGAAAGGCCTGCCATAAGCTTAGTAACTATACTTTGAACACTCTTGACTATGTCAGCACGCCTTTTTAGACATGGACTGGCCGCGAGAAAGCAGTATTCCGAATGAGGCGTAACGTAAGGAGAATAGAATACTCTGAACATATCCTGACCGAAACTTTTGGAAGCTCTGTGGATGGACCATAATACAATACACAGAAGCCTTTTGCTGCAGCTGCATCAGTGTGCCGAAGTTCTCAAATCATGGCTTATGATGTCACGTAAGTCTTTCAGTTCAAAGACCGGGAGCAGTGGTGTACCATCAACCCAATACCGGAAACAACTAACACGACCAATGTGTATTATCGCACTCCTACTAGAGTTGATTTACAGTCACCGTTTGGACCAACCTACCAGTTGTCCGAAGCCCCTTAAAGTGCATACTTATCAGCACCACTACGTATGACTCTGCGAACTTTTACATCGTCGCGAATAGCAGCACCGAAAAGTTGAGCATTTGCGGTAATTCATTGACATATAACAAGAAAAATGGGAAACCTAGGTTTGTTTCTTGAGGAACTAAACTCATCATGGGTCCCCCCCCTATACAGTATCCCATTAACCCTCACTCTTTCCATTCTTTCGTTCAAAAAGCCCCTAATCCATGCTTGCAATGCACCACCGAGGAGGGCATTCCTAGTGATTTTACATAAGACACTTTATCGAATGCCTTAGCGAAGTCTACAAACAGCATCTATTGGCAGCTTGCAATCACAGGCTGAAACCTATCCCTCTCTGTCGATGAGGTTTATTAAGTAGGAGTGTCCAGTGAGAAAACCGTGTTGATGTGGTCTCAAAAGATTATTTGATTCAACAAGATTAAGTACAATATCACGAACTATTTTTGCTAAAACCCTAATAACTATCCTAGTTAGACTCACAGGGCTATAGTTGGCCACCAACTGACGACTACCAGCCTTAAAAACTGGTCTAATTATAGCACCTTTCCAGTCTCTAGGGTGGTGAACCTGAGATAAGGACAAATTGAAAAGACCAGTGACTGGCTCAGTAACAATGTCCGCTAGCAAAAATAGCAATCTGGGGTGCAACTCATCAAGACCCGGAAATTTTTCAGGATTAAGATTAATGAGCAACTGGATGACTGTTTCCTTTGTTATGAACACTGTATTCACTGGTGATCCAGTGCTGACACCACTACGGAGCACTTCACCATCATGATCTACAGAGAAGACTTCACTAAGGTAATCGGACAGACATTCAGCTTTGGACAGGTTAGATTCCGCCAGACTATAAGACTTTTCATCCATCACCAGAGAGGGGATTCTACATTTCCTTTTAGTCCTACTAATGAATGCGAAGTATTTTAGGACAGTTTCGACAAGCTATTTCTCGTAGGACATCCCAGACTGTGTAATCAGTTATGCACAAATTACGAACTTCACAGTACCCAATTTAAAATGCTTCCAGTTCAGTTTCGATAAACATGTCGCATAAACGTTTGAGTGTCCTTATTAAACTACGCAGGGCGATGTGAGAATCTTCGTGGAGTCGACCAAGGAACAAATGGCACCGTTACCTTTTTGAATAGAGTTCTAAACCTATCCCATGCATTCTCGATTGATCACTCCTTGTCGATAGCCCAATCCTTACCAACTGCACTATCCCTTATACTTGAAATATCTTTACGCCACACATTAGGTCTAGGGGAAGCAGTGCCGTAACAAATTCATACGTTCGAAAACCGGAAGTTGGCTCCACATAATGGCTGTTAGCCGAGGGAAGGAAGTATTGCAGATCCATAATGTTTTCACATGTAAGTCAAAACCAAATCTAGTAACGATGGCTTGCGTTCAGAATAGTATTGCGTTGCACAAGTTACGTTCCGAACTAAAGCAGATTCTAGTACCCTTAAAAGTAGATCATTTTCGAAGCAATATCCCGAGGCTAAGACTTAACTCCAATCAGTTTATGTGGAGCATTCAGATCCCCAATTAATAGGCATTCGTTGTTTCTGCTTCAGTTACGTATGAGTTAGCACAGTCATTTGCAAGGCAAGATGGACTACGATAAATTACCCCAATAGTAAAAAAACTGCTTTGACTTCAGCTGGCAACTAGCCACTTCGCAGGTACCGCATTTATGCACTTCTGAAGTGACTGATCGTATGTGGATATCATCACGAACATAGAGTAGTAACACGCCACCTTTGCAGCGCACAACCTTATCTATTGTTACACTGTAATATCCTGTTGGAAGTGACGTAAAATCTAAATCCTTTATTAGCCAGGTTTCAGTAAGGGCCGCTACATCAGAACATAGTTCACAAACTAAAGTCTCGAGGCTGTCGTTTAATTTTTGATTTTCCGAACTTTGGCATAGATTACGTTCACAGTGTTTGAAGAGTTCCACGACCCACTCATACAGGCCTTGAAAGCGGTCGTTTCCATGATCTCATAACCCAAAAACCCACAATTTTCTGCATTAATTTGTCGAGTCTTAGTTTCAGCGACCGCTCAATCTTTTTATCCGGTCCTCGATAGGCCAGTCAGGTCGTGTGGAGATGTCTGGACTTCGTAGTTTGAATGCGCTACTCAGGAGTACACTCACTTTTGTTGCCAAGACCAACCTTTAAAATCATCTTCTTATCGGGTTCGTTATCCTTTTTCTTTTACCTAACATGACTACTTTAGAGATGTGTATTGCTTTAGACGTTTCAGGTAGGATACAACAGATGGCCGACTCGACCAGCTTCGGATCATGCGTATGAGGGTCTTTGTCCGCTGACTTCTCGACATTTCAGATCACATAGGAGTCATGTGTTGACGACCTTCAGGACTTTCCCAACCGGTGATCTCTTCGAATTCTTTCTTAGAGAAATCCATTCGAATTCGTTTATCACCTTCGTAGTGTCAACGTTGCTAACAGACGCAGTTTTCCGGTGAATCCTTGGGTATCACAGTTGGTATGCCAGTTACCATCGGTTTCTTTCTACGTCGATTACAAATGGGGGCTGATGTAACGTCATCAATTACGTCGCCAATATGCAAAATTCCATCTTTAGGTTGTGCCAGATTTACTAGCAATAACACTTGCTATGTCACCATTTGATACCGCATTGGAATGACAGCTACCAAAGGAGTCCTTTTTCATCAGTAACATTTCGACAGCTCCCTGAATTAGGGCTGACAAATGCTTACAAGCAGAAGTCACGTAACCAGGGAGAAGCTGGTTTATTGCAACGCTTGTACAGGGTTGGTGTCAATTCAGTACAGACTTTGTGAGACCAACATCCACATGCATCAAATTGCACGCCTTCATCGACTGGAACATTGCAGCTGGGTGAACCACAAACACGACTACCGCCAACCACGTTATTCACAATTCAACTACTGTTCCCAAAAAAACTGTACTTCTACTGAAGTATTCAGTCAAAGTTAGGTCAGAAAGACAAAATGCGAAAACAGACCTCTAGCCTGAAACGACAAAGCTTCAAACGCTGACTGAGTTGTTTCAACTCAAAGTTTGTGATGAAGCCCTTGACGTGGATTACACAACAAAACCAAAATATGTTAAAAGCGTGGAAAAATTCGCTATCTGTTTCCAAAGCGTGAGCCTCCACTTAATTGTCCCATAATTTCTAATCAATTAATGGATACTAGTGAATTTGACTGGCCATCTGTAGATTAGCTAAAAGCCATGATAAAGAGGAACTAGTAGGTGAACTTGTCCACATTATTCTAAATTGCAATACAGATTCGTTTTCTGCAAAACCACATATTTCTTTAATACGAAACGAAACAGCCTAGTAATTTGTTCACCCAAATGTAGAATCCAACAGGCTAGTATGATGATGACAGCCTATAACTAATACTTTCGAATAACTGTGTAGATAATGTACATTATCTCCATCAACTAAACCATTCGAAATGTATATGAGCAGTAAAACCAGGCCTGTGTTGTTTCCAAAACCTTTCGTCAACACTTTAAAGTTTTTGCGTATCCAGTTTACAAAGAAACACACGGATTGATTCAGGTCACCTGCAAATGGTCATAGTCTGCTTTCTTAATTCCGTAAATCTAAAGTCGATAAATCCCTACTCTGGACGGAAGACAAGACATCAACATAAAAGTGAAAGAACGCTGCTGGTATTACTGAATTTGAAGACTTTGGTTGGCCTGCAAAACAACCAAGTAGTGATGGGTATTCCACCAGTTCCCTAATTTGCACGACCGACAATGCAAAGGCAGGGACGACCTTGAGTGGACGAGCGTAACACTGACTCACAAAACGCGCGGGAAAAGAATAACTTCATGCAGCTGAGTACTTAAAATAAAAGGTTTTTAGAAGTAGAACACAGTTAAATGATGTTCAGTCCACTGATCTCTATGTTCACATGTGACAGCCTGTGGTCTTACGTTTCAAATGGTTTGTAGTGAAATGGAGAAGCCTTCACGTAGATAGCTTCCATGTCGTAAAGCAGTTGGTAAGAAGTTACTCAGTAGTATAGTTGCCTCACTGGACCCCACGTTCGTCAAGACTACGGCCACCATCACTTTCGAATTATTCGGACTTATGTTCTAGTTTTAGGCACTTACTTTCAGACAAACGTTTACGCTTCAAACCTCGTGTTCTGGACGTGTTCAACAATGGCTCCTCTTTTCCCACATCTGTACTAATGGAATATACTCTTTGTTTAAACTATTCGGCTGTTTTTCCAGCCCGAAGAAGCACGGCGAGGTGGATATAATCAATTAATCAGCCTGTTATATATGGTGCCGCTACACATGGCCTCTAATACAACAAGTGGCTTCTCGAGAACAACTTATCTACTCTAAAGAGCTGCACCCCCTACTGAAAGCCTCAGGAGAGGGAGCTGTGACAACTTTTTCAGGAAGGGAGTTCCTCGGTTAACATACTATGACTGTAAACGATTTAGCACGAACCATCGTATTTATTTTCTCACGTTGTACCCATAAAATATGGCCTTTAGTGTCGACTTTCTTACTGAAGCCCAATAACAGTTGGTTAGGCTTGAAAAGATTGCGAGCGATATGTTGTACCACGATGAAATCCCCTATGATTTTCGTGTGTTCATGCGCATGCCAGAAGCTACTGGCCAGCGGACGTCCAACGATGGTCTTTCCGTGAGCCGTTCCTTTCATAACTTCCGCAGCCGGTACAAACTGCGCTGGTGACTCTTTAGTCGGTTGTCACCGGCGAAGTAGTAGCTACTGCTGTTAAAACACTGGGGACCCCTTTAGACCTGCCTCTGGCGTTCATTCTGCCATCGAAAAACCCAAGGGTTAGGATTCAGAAGTGGCAGAGATGTGTAACTCTATGAGTCAGCCTCTACGAACCGAGAGGCCTAGGTCGCAACGTACAACACAGTAACTCGCTTCGTCGTTTCGCATCATTTCACATGTCCACCCAGCAGTCAAGTATTACTTGGTCAAAAATCTTACGTGGTTTTGGTTCCACGGCACCCATAGCGAAGGAGCGAGAAGTTGTCGAAAGCCGTGCAATTTCCACAAAGACTTCACAAGACAGATAGACTGTCCCGTCGACAGGTGTTGACAATAACCATAGCCGGTGAAC